GCCCAGCAAAACAAGGAGGTGTTTAGGGATATTCATGTTTGCTGCTTGTTGGTCATTGACTTCTCATCAGTTGGTGAAAGGACCTTGAAGAAGAAAGAGGACAGACAGAGGCTTTCTTCTAATAGGGTGTAGTCAGTGAATGTATCAGAGTTTCCCATTAATGATAGTGTATCACATCATTCCTTTGGGCGCTAGAAAGTCAAGGACCTCCTGAGCTGTGTATGTTGCTGCAGAAGCTCAGGTAGCTGGATGCACATCAAGTCTATCAGTGGCTTTATTCTGTAAACTCAGGACAGATGTTCAGCTTATATGGGATCTAATGGGGTGACCCTCGAATGGTATGTGACATCCCACTGGCACAAATTTGTATTATTAGTATGTAGAATGTAGGCGTGAAGGTAGTGGTGTAGACAATAATAATTTAGTCCAAAAGGAATCAGTAGCCTCCAGGCCTCATTTTGATCATTTTCGAGTGCAAATTTGAATGAATTGGAGGCAGCAGTTACAACACTGGTGTGCACAAATATGATCACTGAGAAAGGAACTGGATCTAGTAGCTGTGATTATTGTGTGAAATAGAGGTCAAACATATTCCCCAAAGGGGCATAAGCAATTAATAGCTTTTCATCCTATGCTTTCTAAGGTAGGATAATCCTTTTTTGCCTGTGAGAAGTGGTATGAGACTTGCCAGGAGCAGCTAATAGCATTTTCCATAATATGTTTTTTGTTTATTCCATCATTACATGTGTAAGTATATTTTCATTACCTTTGGGTTTGTATTTTTTCCGTTTTGTGGAGGTAGTATGTTAGGTGCTTTAGAAACAGAAATAATTGCCTTTGGTTTTCCCTCACCAAGATGCCTCCAGTTTTACTGTTGTGCAGCTTGCTTGCTGGGTCTGCTGGTGGAACTTGCTTTTGACGTACACTTTGCTTGCTTTTTTTCTGCTTGACACTAATTTTTATCTTTTGAAATGTCTTTTGTTTGATTTCCAGTAGTTTCATGGGTTATGTGCATGTGCTTGAAATTTTAAGTTCATTTTTGCAATGATTAAACCAAATTACAGAGGAACCTGGAGCCTAAGCACTAGCATGATGTGAATGTGAGCAAAGCATGTCAGACCTGAGTTTCCAAGGTGGACAGCAAATTATAGGTGGTGAAATTCTGCTTCTGACTCCTTTAGCTCCTGCTGTGGACATTTTCTATCATTGTGTTGTTTAAACACTCAATATTGGAATATTTTCTGTTATCTTTACAAATCCTGTTCATACACGGTCACAGAGTCTTTGTAACATGCCAGGGAGACAATTAGATTTGCTTGCACAGTTGTTGCCACTGAGGAATAGTAGCCATTTGCTTAAGAAATGTTACTGTAGCATGTGTGTAACACTGTGTAACAGCTGTGTGAGTAATAAAAGGTTTTCTCTAGCTATAAGAAGTCTTGCTCTATGGTGTGGACAATTTTATTTGTTAGGCAAGACGTGCAATAGAAAAAAACAATTCTTGCCTCAGTGATCTTTTAAAGCCAACAAATTAACATGAACTTCAGTGTCCTCTTAGGACCAGCCCTTGGAAAACAAGTCCAGTTCTCAGTGGTTTGAAAATAAAGTAAATCTGGACAAATCATCTATGATGTATAATATTTATCTGCTGATAAGTTACATAAGGCTTAGTGTTGGGGCTGTACTTGAGTCACAACAACCCTATGCAGTGCTACGGGCTGGGGGAAGAGTGTCTGGAAAGCAGCCCAGCAGAAAAGGACGTGGACGTGCTGGTTGACAGCCACCTGAACATGAGCCAGCAGCGTGCACTGGTGGCCAAGAAGGCCAGTGGCATCCTGGTCTGTGTCAGCAGTAGGGTGGACAGCAGGACCAGGGCAGTGATTGTCCCTCTGTACTCGGCACTGGTGAGGCTGCACCTCAACTCTCATGTTCAGTTTTGAGCCCCTCATTACAAGGAGGGCACTGAGGTGCTGGAACAAGTCCAGAGAATGACAACAAAGCTAGTGAAAAGTCTGGTACATAAGTGCCATGGGGAGTGGCTGAGGGAGCTGGAGTTTTTTGGCCTGGAGAAAAGAAGGCTGAGGGAGGATCTTATTGCTCTCTACAATGACCTGAAAGGAGGTTGTGATGAGGTGGAGCTTGAGCTCTTCACTGAAAGTTTGCCTCTTCAGAATCACGTGTGGATATGTTAGCCGTTCATGCCGGAAGAAGAAACCTTGAAAGGCTATCCTGATCAAGAGATGTGTTTGTGATTCCGGTTCTCAAAAGAGAACTGCTTTGTAAATTGTCAAGGCAGTGAACCTGATTCTAGTGAAGGTATAAAGTATGATGCAGAGATAGTGAACTCATAGAAAAGCTTTGTTGGATTCATGTGACTTAAAAAGTTCTCAGCACCCTATTATTAATGTATTATTATATGTATGGCAGGCAACCCAAAGTTATCTTGACGAATGTCCTGAGGACGAAACTAGGAAGAAAGTACACACAGCCGCAACCTAAAAATGGTGCTAATTTTTGTGATGCTGGCAAGCTGCAGTCAGATCTACCACCCTCATCATCTACTGCCAGCCTAAAGATATGGCAGATTTTAAACCCTACTCTCCAAAGTCTTTTACTATCTAAAAGGTATGTTGGTTTTGCCTCATGTCACTAAACAAAAAAATTTTCCTTGCAGTTATTTTTTCATGAGAAAGTGTTATTTGTTGTACCACAGCTGTCTTGTTCATGAACTGTATTTCATCTGACTTCGCTGAATTCACTTGTTCCTGGTTCCATTTGATAATCATTGAGAGAGATGGTACCAGGCATGTTGTGGTGGTTTTTCTGTTCAAATGGCTTCTAGATGATCTTGTGCTGATGAGACCAATTAATTCTGATTTAACCATTGGATTCTCAAAATGTTCAGGGTTTTTTTATTCTTGTGCAAAGAATACACTTGTATTTAACTGCAAGCCTTTTCTCAGAGAAGGTATCAAGGTGTATTTTTCACTGTTCCTGCTTTAGACTACTCATGAAAATAGGAGAACTGGCATAACAAGTCAGAAGAAAAGCATATCAAGTCCAGTATCATCTTGACCCTCCTGCAAGCAGTGGTCAATTGTAGATATAGAGGGAGGGAAAAGTATGGCTATAGTGATTGCTTTTTTCTCTGTTTTTTTTCTCCAAGCTTCTGATGGTAGACAGTTTAGGGACTTTGTTTATTGGAGGTTACATCTAGTCTACAGTATTTTTCTGTATTAGACTTTTTCTCTCAGTGGTATGCTCATTGTTTATCACGTGCGTGCATCTGCAGCATCTTCTCTGTAAGGTAGTCTCCTGTTTAAAAGCAAATTTACATCTCTGTGCAAGAGGAGATCTGAGTGCTCCCCAGACATCACACAGTCTGTGCTGAAGTCTGCTCTGTGGATGAATACAGACAACAGGAGAATTACACAGTCAATTCCCAAAAGACTGTGTTTTTCAAAACAGATTCAAAAAGGCCAGGAGGTTACATCCTAATCCAAAACAAAATGCAATGGAAGTGCTAGAATTTAAATCCCAGATTGAGAAATTTAGGTGGGTAAATCGAGGACTATACAACAAGCTGGCTGCAGTAGAATTGCTTGAAGTAAGTTGTGTGCGCTCAAGTGGACAGTTTTATCTTCGTATTTCTGCTCGGCTTATTTTTGATGCTTGTGTTCTAACACCTGGGAACGTTTTTCTGAGTCTTGCTGTTCTGTAGAATGCCACCTCGTAATTGAGGGGGACAAATTCTAATTCTACCTTTTTGTGTACCTTTTTTCTACCTGTTTGCTAAGTGCTTGGGAAAATTCAGTCTGTTTCACTGGAGGCTTCTTGTTCACAGGAAAATCCAGATTGTTTGCTCAAGATTTCTGAGAAATGTCTATTGCATGAAAGCTATTTAGAGATAAACATTTACCAGATTTTAAACAGTACTACCTGATGCATTAGAGGCAATGCAGTGTGAATTGTATTTGGCTGAGGTGAAATTATATGGCTAGTTTTTCTTACCCTGGTCTCTTGTTGCTTTTTTGTGTTAATCTTCTTACCTTGTATTTTAAGTTTCTTAATTGGATTTTTTTTTCTCTAAGGGACTGAAAATACTGATGTTGATTATCAAGCCTCTAAGATACATGAATTTTACAAGAAGTTTCTTCCTCTAGATTTCAGAGCAGTATTTATGATGTACTGTTATATATATGGCAGGCAACCCAAAGTTATCTTGACGAACATCCTGAGGACGAAAATTGGAAGGAAGTACATAGACAACCACGTAACAATTGATGCAAATTTACCGGCTGCTGATAAATTGCAATCGGGTCAGCAACCCTCATCATCTGTTGCCAGCCTGCAGACATGTCAGATATTAAGTTCTCCTCATGAAAGTTCTTTTCTGTCTGAAAGGTATGTTACTCACTGCTGATTTTGCCAGTCTTCCTGAAATGGCATAACTTCACAATGGAAAAGAATTTCCCTGAAACAACTTTGGTTCTACTCCTGTCTTGAATCAGGAGATCAGTTTCCTGGGTGCAGCTAACATGCTTGTCCAGTGAGCCCTTTTAACACTGCATTTGTTCTGATTTGCTGGACCTGATGATAATGGCCTACTTTCCTTTCTTAGATGGAATTTCTGTTTGCAATAGATCAGTGTTTTGATTTATGAAGATGGCCAAGTAATTCAAACACATCTAAGTTGGTTTTGTGTCCAGAACCAAAATCTTGCTTTCTTGTAGCTGTTAATGTGTTCTAGCATGATTTCAATTAACTTCTTTTGCAAAATTTTCCAAATTCCTCTCTGTAATGGGTAATTTCACAATAACCCACCAGTGGTCTCAATCCTAACAGGGTGACATTGTTTAAGGGCTGTGTGTGTCGTCTCACCACTTAACCTCTACTTTTCCTCTTTTGTTCCTGTGTTTAGGTTGACTGAGCATCACAGTAATGCTCGACATAGAAAACTAGTGGAAATCAAGTATTAGAATTATATAACATTTTGATGTAAGAAGGCAGTTGCATTCAAAGTAAGCTGTATCCTCTTATCTCTTATGACTACATCTTTGCTCAACAGCAAGTTTTCCACAGGAAAATTTAGCAACAAATTTGGAGGAAGAAGGTAGAAAGAGGAAGAGAAGAATGTTTTTTTTTTTGAGGGCAGGAGTAATTAACAGTTCCCAGGTAAAAGTTGAGAAAAGTAAGTCATATTCCTCATTCTGATACATCAGCATCTTAGAGAACTGAAATTAATAGGAATTCATTTTTAATTCCTTATTTTTTAATATTGGGTTACCCATTGCTACTTAAATTAACCTGATAAAGTTGCAATTTAGATGAGGGATTTAGATAGAACAGTTTATTAGGCTGTCTCAAATATTATATTTGTTGCTAATAGTTTTCTATGACTTAGGGTTGAGTGAAGTGTGGGGATTTTTTTCATGTTGTTGGGGTTTCTTTTGTTTTGTTGGGGGTGTTGTGGGTTGTTTTTTTTGTTTTATGGCAAAATCTTTTAGTTTTAGTATCTGATTTTTTTCACTTGGTAATGTTTTGGATGATGGAAGGTAGTGGGTTTATAGAGAGGAGAACATGAACTCTTGAATTGAACTCTCTAAATCTGAGGAAACATCTTGAGTTCTTTTTCAAGCTCATATTTGGAGGGTGGCTGTTGAATTTTATATTAAGGACAATAATGGTTTGAACCAGTAATTTCTTTTAGCCATTGGTGTACTCCTCAACTTCCTTTAGCTTTGGATTGGTTCATTGCTTGAATGATTAATATTCTGTTCCTGCTACACAACTTTCTAGTTGTGTATTATGTAAAAGGCTTGTCAGTAGCAGGAACCAACATTAGGATGATTTTTCACCCCTCCCCAGTGACCAGCACAATAGTACAATTTGTAAGACGTATCACATGGGAAATGGAGAATTTAGGAATTATTTCAGCAGTCATGGATTGATCCTCGTCACCTCTCTGTAAGTAAAATCTGTGCATTACATACACTTGGCACTGATTCTTTTGAGGTCCCTTCTTTCAGAGGAGAATAAACCCTCCCCTCTTATAAAGGTTATGCATATAAATGCACATGGTCATACAGAGAGTCTTTTGTATCATCAGAGTAGCTAGAATGCATACTTTGTTTTACTGAAAATTGTGCCAGTTTTGTACTATGGAAATTTCAGATCAAGCCAAAGAACTGTGTGTGATCAGAACAGCGTGGTAATAACTTAACTAATCTCTACCAGCTAGAACTTGCTGCAAGTTCCCTATTTTCTTTCTTGCTTTTGGTATTACAGAATTGGTGGATTTTGAGTTGCTTTTTCACTGCAAGCCAGTGTGAAACACATTTGTTTGTCACCACTGAACTATCAGTATAACTAATGAATTTGAGGTAGGTTTTAAATGTAAAGAAACATAGGGTTTTGAAGTGTTTAAAGTACTTCTTTCCCATGGCTGTTGAGAACACTTGATAGTATATATGCTGCCTTAGCTTCATAGGTGATGCATGTCTGTTAAAGGGTGCTAAATTACCAGCAAAGTTTGAAATTGCAAATAAAATGTGCAGAATTTATGTATAAAGTCAACATGTTTAAGGAAGCTTGTTATCTGAAACAGTTCTATTGAGATACTTCCTATTATTGAAATGCCTGAATGGTGACGTTGGTGTAAAACAAATGCTGAAAAACGCTTGATGGTTTTGTGTGGTCTTTTAGGGCAGTCATATCTATGCAGCTGTTATGCATACAAATATTTAAACTGAGAAAGAGATGTGGGTTCCAAAATAAAGTTTTCTATAGTGAGGTTATTCCAGAACTAGAGCTACCTGACCTATGCAAGACCCTGTCTTGTTCAATATGCAGAATAAATAGTAGCACTTACTGAGCACTTCTTCTGTGTATGGTCCAATTCATGGTTCTTTGTGAATGGAAAGATAATCAGTAATTTCTTCACAGTGCTTATACATACTGTTCGTCGCTGTAGTATCAGAGCTCTGTGGAAATCTTTCTTTGTCTTTGCAGTGTTCCCAAAGAGCAACAATAATCTACAAAATAGGCACTGAAGAATAGGCATCTGCTCAGGAAGTGTCCAACAGTTTTGGCTATCTAGTTAGAGATGTCCATGGTTGGTGATGTTCTTTGCGAGTCCGAGCTCAGCTGTCAGTGATTTCAGTCATTGTGATGGACACTTAGCTCTTAGCAAGTTTGAGACCACAACGTTCACAGTTAGACACATTATAAAGCAGTAAACATGAAATCCATTTGGATTAAGTGCTGTGATCCTTTTCTCTTTCTTTCTCTTATGTGTCCCATCCTCCCTTACCTCCTTCACAGCAGGCCCTTTCAAGCAGGAATTTTTATTTCAAATAATTTCTCATTATAGGGTCTTACTGAATGGATTCTGTTAGTCATGCTGAATCTAAAAAATATACTACATTGTCTCATTCCTACCATATTAATTACAAGTAACTGTTGTACTCTCTTTTTCTTATGTGTTCTTGTTGCAGTCACTCCTTACAGCAAATTAGTATTTGTGCCTGATGTCAAGCATGCCAGATTTTCGTACTTTGTGCTTTTTGGAAGCATCTGTTTCATTAACGTTGTTAGAATACTTCTGTATTTCTGCAGTTGGACTGAAGTAATAGTGTTTCATTTGCCAAGGTCCACAAATTTTATGAGAAAGGCAGAAGTTTGTGGTCTAACAATTTTTTTTTTTTCAGTATTCTTTCAAAATTAAAGATAAGTCATAGTTAATATTATTTGCAGGTCTGAACGTTGCCTGAGAAAGACAGATGATGAGCTGTGTAAATTGACCAAGTCCTCTAAGGAACCAGGAAAAACTAATGCTGTCACATTAAGGAGACGGGAGCTGCAAAAGAAAGGTTTGTAGTGAGCAGTCATCTAACATTTAAGTATGAATTTTGGAGAGTGTTGGAATAGGAGAGCACAGAAATAGGTGTTGCAAGCAATGTATATATTTCCTCAAAATGCAGTTTTTTGCAGGTATGGTAAAATATGTCAAATGCCTGGTTTTAAATAGGAATAAAACTATGGTGAATCAAACCTGTGGAAGAAAAATGAAACTGAAGAAAGCCTCACTTCACTCTTATAATCCTGATTTTCTAAAAAGTCTTTTATAATCAAGAAAGTAATCCATTAAGAATGCTCAATGGTTTGTGAACACTGCTAAAATGTTTATGCTATTTGACAATACTTGTATTCACTGCTGAAGAATTATGACCTCTGTGCTCAGTCTCCAGGGATAATGTACTGCCTTTTTATACTGATTAGTAATATTTGCAGATTAGAACAGGAAATTGAGAATATTGTATCTGGCAGAAGATTAAAGAAAGACTAATTCTTACTTGGAAGGGAGCTATGAATTTGTTTATGCCCTTATCTTAAGTAATTATGCAATAATAATATTCCTAATTATTTTAGGGAATATGTTTTGGCAGCCACACACAATTTAAAAAAGGAAAGAATTATTAAAGATACTTGTGGAAGATGCCTGCTCCCATGCATTTTATTTAAGACATAACAGATATGGAGAAATGTAAAGGTTTTTAAGGATAATCTGTTAAATCACCTCCTTTTTAGATGCAGAAAACAAGCACTATGATGAACTGGAGAAAAGGGGCAGACAGATGAACAGCACTACTCTTAGTCAGAAGGACTCGGGCTCTTTTGCTTCTGAGAAAAGGAAAAGAAGACATAGTGGCCATATTTCTGATGATTGTAATGCACACATTCCAGAAAAATCACTTGTACTCTCTGTAAGTTGCACTTAATTTTAATGTATGTGTTTGTGTACACGCATGCACACACACTTCAGTAGCAGCATTAGCAACATCCCAAATAAAAGAATTATTGTAATAAGTAGGGCTTATACCTGTTGAGGGAAAGTAGTTCAGTGATGCATCAGAAGGAGTGAGTAAATGTGCTTCTGTCCACAACATCAGAATATGCTTATTGGAGCAAAAAATGTTGTGAGAGGTGAATGACAGTGTTTCTTTCAAACAGGAGCATGGACTAAAAGAATTTTGAAAATAAGACATCTAGCTGCTTAAGGGAAGCTTCTTTCACAGATGATATAGAGTTAGGGACTAATTAGGGGCTTTAATACAAAAATTACTAAATATACCTGGGGTTGTTGAAATCTTGCAGATGTCTTCTTCCTCCCTTCTCCTCAGTTTATTGTACTCTTCCTTAAAGTTTTATTCTTATCCATCGTTGAGATTTAAAAAACAAAACAAAACAAACCCCAAACCAAAACATAAACAAAAGACTGAGGGAATCAGTCGAGTACAAAGATTTATATTCAAGCATTTGAATACAATAAAGGCATCCCTGTCACCTTCTGATTAAAACCCCACAGAGACAGGCAGCTGCTGAATCCCATTAGCCCAGCCAGTGAGAGAGCTAGTGAAAAAGAAGATGTAGTTCCTTGTTCAGTTTGAATGGGGGTCATAATAAACTTCTAAAAGGTTGTCCCTTATGTCTTTATATAATAATAACCTTTGGAATATGAGGAGGGAGAAATTGTCCTGAACTGAGCATTAAATGTTGCTGTGTTACGCTGTAATTATTTTTTCTAGCACATAGCTAAATCTCAGCGATCACTGATATGAACCATCTAGAAATGTCAAGAAATAAACTTATATCCTGTCTCTGATTCCTGTTTCTAGGAAAAGCAAAGTTTGAGTTCAACTCCTGGCTGCAAAACACCCTGTGAGAACAGACAAGGTGACAGATCTAATACTGTTCTGGTGCCGGATTGTATTCCCCAGCCATTAGAGAGAGACTGTAAAGACACTTCCACACACAAGCACTTAAGGCCTGCTCACAGCCGCACAGAGGAGTCTGGCTCAGAGTCTCCTCCCAGAAATTTGTCAGAGAAACAGCTTTCTGCCACCAGTGAGGACGTGATTTTACCACGAGTTAGTACAATCAGGAAATTGAAAATGGACCCATCTCAGTACCTGAGCAAGCTGCGGAACAGAATCTGCAGGGGTAATCAGCAACTTGTTTCCGTTGACCCAAGTATGTACTATGTCTGTGCTGCTGACAATTACTGTTGGGACACTTAGGTACTAGGAGAACTTGAGCCTGGCTGGCTGATTGAAACACACAGAACAAAAGATTGAAGATGGAGATCACGTTGTGTGTAATGCACTGTGCAGGTTACAGAACAGTGCCTGGAGTCAGAGGGTCTTGTACTTGAGAAACAGGATAGACAGCAAGATTTTAAAATTCCAGTCTTTATTTTGCAGCTGATTTTGTGGCTATGAAAAATGAGCCTGTACTTAAGCTGATGCTTTACCTGAGAAAAGATATTCTCTAGTTCGAAGCAGCTGAGTTGTGGCCTGTTTCTTTTAATAGCCAAATACTTTAAAGGATCTTGGATAGAAAGTGTTCATAAAAATACAAAGCAGTACTTGTTGCATGCACTTTCATACACACACATCTTGACTGGTTTGGGCAATGTACCTTGATATTACGTGCTGCAAGAGAGAATTCTTTACTTGTCTGAAATCCACAATGAATGAAATATTCTTAAGTCTGCGTCATGTAGTATATATATACTTTTTTTTTTCCTCTTCAGTCGTCCTTTCCAGTGATGATGAAGATTCACCTTCTGAACCACAGTGCACAGAGCTGATGCAGGATAGTATCACTGAAATCAAAGAAACAGGCCAACAGTCTGACTTCTCAGCCAAGCAGTTGGAAGACAAGATGGAAAGCCACACAGAGCAGGTAGTCTAGTTTTTGGCCTATGTATTGTTATGCCAACCCTTTATTTCTACAATGTTTGTTGTGGAAAATTATTGTTTATAGTCCCAGCCACAAGCAGAATTCTTTGGCTCTGAAGCTTCGGTGTTTCTGCAGCATACAGTGTATTTCCTGTTTTGAAAACAAACATTTGGAAATGTTTAATATCAAGCTAGAAATAGACATGATGAAGATACATCTGTGAAAAACTTGTTTTCACACAGCGTTTTAAATTGATTGCAGTTTCTTCTCGTCAGCCAGTCCTCTGTTGTAATTCAGTGCATGGAGAAATTCAAGGATCTTTGCTGACAGCAGAGAGAGACAGGGTAAAGTTCCCTTTTCTGTGTGGCTAGCAGTAAAATGTGAATCTAGAACTAGCCATAAAGGTTGTTGCCTCATTTTAGACTTCATTAACCTTATGCTGCTTGCTTTGACCTGGATTTGAGTTATCCTGAAACAAGTCAAGAGCCATTGCTGCATCTTCTCTCAGGTGCATCATTTTGATCATAAGCATTGAATTGGATCCTGAACCTTTGATATGAAAAGAGGGATATTATTTTGTTACTCTGTTTGAGTTTTTACTTGACTCTAGATTAGTAAAGTGCACAGATCATTTCTTGGCAATGAAGGTGAAACAAGATCTTTTTAGGCCCTTAAAGACGTTGTCAGTAATGGATGTGTTAACACTTAAAGCTTTTGTGTTATTTTTCATATGGAAGCTGACTCTGGGAGTAAATTCTTACCAGTGTGATGAAAAAACTTTCCTAAGGTTACAGGAGGGAAGTATCTCATTTAAAGCCCTGTAGTAAATATACTTTTCTTCCAGTTTTTAACAGAGTCAATTGAAGATAAAAGTCTGATCACCTTACCTTCTGAAAGAACACCTAGAAAACAGATGAACCCATCACTGGATGTTACATTTGATAGTCTATACATTGGGAGATTTAAATGCTTATCAAGAGGTCCTGCTAGGGTAAGTTGTTCTATTATGATGATGTTTTGAGAATATTTAAAAATTAAAATTCTGGTAGGCAAAGCCAGTGGTACTTAGTATGGAACCACTCAGTTTTGATTATTGTTGCATCAAATTCCTTTGGCTAAACAATGGAGTGTGTAGTCCATTACCATCTACATTTGAATTGCTGTCAGAAAAGCTAACTGATTTTCTGTGGCCACAGTTTTCAGATGTAAAAGTTCTGTATAAATGCTGTACTTGAGAAGTCACACTGAGGATGCTTGTAATGAATTCTAACAGAAAATAATGACCATATTAGTGGCCAATTAATGTCACTTAAAAGAAAAACCAGTTGCTTTTCTCAGAAATAGTAACGATTTAGAATAAAGTAATCCATAATGATCAGAGTTCAGATATATACTATGCTCTAATCTTGCCTTTTAAACAGAAAATTGCTTGTTTTGTGGCTTTAAAGAGCATAAAAACAATACTAAAGCCACTAGTGCATAGGCAACATGCTACTCACTGGGTGTAGAAACATAAGTGAAGATGTGCTTAAATGGAGTACCAGCTCCAGAAGTTTCAACAGGTCTTTGACCAGGCTCTTTCTGTATATTGCAGCTGAAAAAGAAATGTTTGAACCTGCGTATGTTTTGTTGCTTTCAGTAAGACATCTTGAAATCTTGGATTGTAGTAATAATAATAATTTTAGGTTTTCAGAAAACAGCAGTTTAGTGCAGCAATTCTCATGCAGTTATGGAAACATTTCATGGTAACTTCCTAAATTAACAGGCCAAAATAATTTGAAGGATGAATTGGAATAATTTTAGAATCAATGCTTTAGGTATAAAGTAGACATTTTCCTTGGAGAACACAACTTCGTGCTTACTATGGTAATGTAGGAGAAACCTCTTCTGTCAATGTATATGAGAACCTTTTGTCAAAGTGACAATAAAGCACTCTTTATTTAGCAAAATCTCTTTGACATAGCAGCAGTGCAAGTGGAATCCTTCAAGGCCTTTAATTCAAAAATTATTGTAAATAGCAAAGTAACACCCCAGTGTTGAACCGTTTCTATCGCGTCCTTAATTCAAATAGTGCATCTGACAGCCTATCATGAGTTGCTTTAGCTCCTTTTGTCTCAAGTGTTCATCTTTTTTTCTTCTTCTTCTTAAGGAGCCTATAGGCAGCTCTGCAACTTTATGCTCATTTCTCAGTGCATAGCATCTCTGCAAGTTATTTGCTGTCATTTAGGTTCTGCAGTCAGGCTAATGGTTGGACTTGGTGAATTGTGTTTTCCAACCTAAATGACTCTATTATATTACTTTCAGTGTATTTGGCTATAAGGAAAGACATGCAGATAATTAAAAATTCTTATATTGATTTAATCAATTTGTAAAAAGCAAAGTAATTTTTTTTTTTATTATTCTTATTTCAGTTTACAACAAAGAATATTGTGATCCCACTCCAGGGTAAGAGAATTTTTTTCTTTAGGGTTCTCTTAACTGTATCTTTAAAGTATTGCATTAAAATACTAAGTATGTATTTCTGTTATGAGTAATTTATACTCTAACTTGCTTTCACAAAGACATTAGATAATTTTCACTTACATTTTTCAGTAAAGGAGTTTTGGTGTCTATAATGTAATCCTTAATAACTTATCAGTTTCCTGTACTTTTAAGATGAACTTTGTAGTTTTAGTGGCCTTGCCTCCCATATTCTTGCATATCATAGGTGTTGCACTATAGTAAAAATGACTGTGCATATTTTTGAGGTGAAACATTCATCTTTTCAGATTAGGGATTTATACCCTCAGGTAAGTTACACAAAAATGTATGAGTCGACTAAAGATAAGAGGAATATAACTGTAGATATAACTGAGTTGGATTGACCAAAAGCAAATAGGAGTTCGTGATTTTCAATTTTTTTTTTTTGTTTGCTTATAGAAAAAATACAACTTTTTTTTTCAGGAAGAATCCCAAATTTAGATGTTTAGCTTTTGGGGTCACAGTTGGTAACTTTGTGTTACATAGTTTGATGTAACTGATTTCAGTGTTGAATTCTCGATATTTTATGTAATACCAGGAATAAAATCTACAAGTACTGTGTTAATAAGCTCTGGTTGTACTTAGATCTCAGCATGTAACTACTATAACATGTATGACTATGGCTGTTATAGGTATGGTTCTTTTAAATTCTGTTCTCTACAGTGGCTCTCAATAAGAATGTTAAGCTGACAGTGGATACTCTGGATCTCAGAAGGTTTGGCTTGTGGAGAAGTGATGGTGGCTCCTCTTCAACAATTATCATTTTTCTTTGGTTGTCTGTGGATTATGTAGAAAACATGAAAACCCAATTGGGAAAGTTAGTTATCAGCAAGCCATGTGAGTAATCTCTTTCCTTAAATGCAAAGGAAAGGTCTAATTTATGGCATGTCAATAAAGTGGTTATTTTACAGTTGTTTTTTGAATGTGGAGGAAAGCTTATTGCATTTTAAAGATAATGTGGCCAGTTTTGCTTTTCTAAAATACCTTGCTATAGTTGTATTTGGAAGAAAAAAATCTAACATAATATGATTCAAAACCACTGCTATTTATTAAAAAGACCTCAAAACACAGTTTAATTGTAATCTGTGTGAGAAAGCCCTTGTAACTAGGCTTGTGTATAAAGCATCTCTCCCTTTAAAATATGTGGAATGTTTTACTTGTCCTTACTCCTGAGTATTGTATATGCTACAGAAAAGGCTTGGCAAGTAAAGATTGAGTTTTAGGGCCCAGAGTGTGTTTGTCTTCCTCAAAGTACTTAATTTGGGTTCCTACCTGCCATTTTGCTCCTGTGCTCCTCTGGGCTTATCAGGTGGGCCGTTGGTGGGCTGATGGCCCCTGTGATGAACCTGGTAGGGTATTATTTGGGCTCCCATGCCTGCCATTGTCTCTCCGTGCTCCTTTGTGGATGTGCAAACAAGTTCTTATCACATAATCTAATAGTTAGTACTATCCATTCTCTCCTTTTTCCAGCCAAACCTGGTGAATTTGTATTTCTTGAATTGTGCCAACCACTCACAGGATGGGAAGAAGACAGACTGACTGAACTGATTACAGATGTGAGCAAGAAGAACAGAGCACCAGATCTCGCTGAGTTTTTGTCTTTGAAGCAAGCATTTCCCTTGTTTAAGGATCTTTCTCCTGAAGAAAGCTCTTTTGTGAGTTACCATAAGGATCTACTAAAGCAATATATGCCAAAAAAGAATACCTCAGATGCTCATGAACCTGCAGTTCAGGTTAGTGTGTAGCTGTTGCTTTCTTTATCGCCACCTGTTCGTATTCACACATTCTAGTAAATTTTCCATCAGCCTTCTTTCTTAATCCATGGCTCAAAAAAAATCAGTCATGATTGTTGCAAAATTTGCAGTCAACTAGGTTGTGTCCACGGAGGGAGAGTGTGTAGACCTCATCAGTGAGTAGCAAGTACCTATGCTTTAGATTGACTCATGGTTGTGTATATTTAGAATAGGGATTTCCTGCCCTTGTGGTGTCTCCAGGGCAGCAAGTGGGAGTTAATGAAGTTATGAGTGGTGGAGACATTTTTTGGTTGAGCTGGAAAGGCAGCAGAGAAGGAGCTGTGTATATTGCTCTCCAGACACCTCTAGATGTACTTTCAAGCTTCTCCACAGCTTGAAATGCAGAATGATTCCTCAGACTGCTGGGGAGATGTCTGTGCAAGTTAATGTGTTGTCATGGTTTAATCCCTCTGAGGAGTAAATGTCTAAATCCAACTCCACGTCATTACCACTTCAGAAATTACATATATTTGTTCCCACTAGTAAAAAGCACAGAGACAACAGATAAATATGATCCGTGAAACTGGGGACTTAAATAGTGAACCAGCCAGTTCAAATCTGTATCGTTTTTCAGGCAAATTGTTTAAGGGCTGGATTTTCAAACCTTCCAAGCACACACAGCTCCAAGTAAGACGGTCTGATACTTGTCTCCATCCTTTCAGGTCATGTTTCTTCTCCAAAACCAATTCTGCATCACTTGACTAAATAATACTTGGACAGTTTTGGAGAGATTATGAACTAAGACCTGTCATCATTTTAAAAGATCCATTAATTTTTTATTGCCTGAGCGGTGGCTCATTTGCCTAAATCCTGAAGGTTACACTTTTGCTCTCCGGCAAGAATCCTCTTCAGTGATGCAGGTTACTCCTGTGGGCTTTAAGCTTGAATTTTCTGTATTCTGTTTTACATATGTATCAAGCTGTATAATGCTTTTTACTACTATTACTGTTTGTGGTTTTTTTTCTGATAGGAATCAAACCTAAAAGTGGTCAGGCCCAGTTATGCCCTTGCAAATAAGCAGAATAGTGGTTGCTATTCTATCTCTTTGTCCTCTGCACTGAATGAAGAATGGAAAGAAGTAAGAGAAACAGGAGCAGTTAAGAAGTAAGTAATATTTCACATAAATGAGAAAGTAAAAGAAATTGAATAAATAAGTTGTTAAGTGAGGGCTTTTATTCCAACTACCATTCTTTAGTTGTTTTTGAAGTTGTGTGAAAGTTGCTCTAGATATCTAAAATATCCCCAAGTCTAAGTGTAGTTATTCCTGTTCCATCCTGATAGTTAACAGACAGAATGGATGTATTACAGGATTGCAGAAAATCTCACAGAAACTGAAGAATACCTGAACTGTGACTACAAGGTCACATCATGGGTGCATCAATGGGGAGGGTAGGGACCTCATGGGTTCTGTAGGTGTCCATCTAAGTCCATCTTAGCAGAACTATTGGTAACTTAAGATGAGCCTTTTTTAAAATCTAAACTATGTTTTCTTTCACTGTGTCACACTCTATTTATAACTGATGTGTCATACAGTTTACTTGTTAGTACAGGAGCTTGGTTGAAAAAAGACACTAGTGTATCAAGATGCTGGGAGAGCACTGACATGCCTCAGTTCTGTCTGCACTTGCCTCTTAGTGCTCATACTTGTAGTACAGCAAACATTACCAGATTAAAATGCTCTTAAGAACCCTTGCCTTTTGCTGTCACTGTTTCTACTGACAGTATCACAGTTGGTTTTGCTTCTTCAACAGCAAAAATGCTCAGTTCATGGTTCCAGGTAATTAATATGGTTTTTAATCTGAAGCCTTTTATGTACATTTTAAATACTAGTGGTAGGAGTAACTTGGGCAGTTTTAAACCACTTACAAATACATATGCCACATGAGGTGTAAGCCCAAGTTCTCTGACTGGAAATGTGGGAGTCCTTGTTGGGCTGTTCATTCAGACCATTTGTCCCCTAGTATTTCTTCACATTATATATAGCCATTTGTCAACTACTTTTATGAAGAATAGAAAAACAAGATGAAGGTAAAAAATAGTCTCCTTTCAAAAGTTTTTCTCAAAGTTTCAGTGTGCATTGGAGTGAGTATTTCTTTTGAAACACTTAGCAGAAGAAATGGTAAAGGACTTTTGAGTTAGCCAACAATTTCAAGAACTACTACTATTAACAGGTTTTCTAGAAAATCTTCTACATGTGAAACAGCCATGCTAAGAAGAATGTCATGTAAAACACTTTGTCACTGTTATCACATGATTTATGTTTTCTAGTTTAATTGTTTACCCGCCCCCACCTGCAAAAGGAGGACTGGGAGTCACAAGAGAAGACCTAGAGTGCTTAGAATATGGAGAGTTTCTCAATGATGTCATCATTGATTTCTATCTTAAGTAAGTAATCACAGTCCTGCTTGTACCCTTCTTTCTAGGGCCTGATCTGGACTTGAATGTTACTGTAAATGTTGGTCACTAAACACAGTACAACAATTTCAGGAGTAAAGAGTGTGATGAATTTGTCTGTTGGACTTTCCTAAAAGCTTTTTTATATTCTTAGCAGTTTTATTTGTTTTAATTTAATTCTTTTTGTCCCTCTAAAGAACTGTGATATAATCCAGACAGAATAACTGAAGGAAAAAAAACCTTTTGGCGACCTTACACAACAGAAAGTGCTGAGCAGTGTTAAGTAGGCAGTTGAACAAAGTAGATGGTCTGCACTAGTATTTTATTTACTAAGTTTGCATGAAGTGGAGCATCCCCTGCTATTCTTTGCAATTTCAGGCATTCTTCTGATGCAGATCTCCTGCAGAAAGGAACACAGCTAATACTTCTTGAGGAAGTTGTGCTTGGCTGAGCTACTCCATGCCACTCTGCTAAAGTTGCTTGTGAAAGCAATTTTTCAAAAACTGGCACCGTGGCCACCATTCCCTAAAGTTGAGGTTTATTTTCACTCTGCTGACTTAGACCTAAGAAGAATTCTGGTTCGTTGAAGGTTGTCAGCAAGAATTCCATTTTACTTGGCATCCAGATGGCTGAAGGAGCAGGAGCCATAGGAAGCCTTGTCCAAAGGAGTGGGAAAGGCAATGTATTACTAAGTGTTTCAATGGGAGATTGCAGCAGACCCCCTTGTATTTTGCCCTAAAATAGAAATAAATAACACAGCATGGTCCTCTCAACAGCTGTGGCTTCATCTCAACAGAAAAGAAAGATTTAAATTAAAGAATTTAATGCAATCATTGCAAAAACTTCTCTGCTTTTAAAATTTGTTAGACTTCCCACATTCTCAGTTTTCATTGTGTTGCAAGTTGTATCATGTATGACTGTGTTTCCCAAGTCATCAGATGAAGCTGGAGGCACTTTGTGTAGGATAACTGCAATTATGAGAGCTTTGGTCTTCTAGGATGACAGAAGAAACACTCAAACTGATGTTTATAGTGAAATTATTGGCAGTGAAATAATAAGTACTTGTAGAATATTTGACTTAACTTTCACATGCTTAAATTGTTTGTTTTACTTCTGCAGGTTATTGTACTGACCTTTGCATGTTGTACTATGCTTTTTGTACATGCAGGAGTATAGCACTCCATAATAAATTCAGAAGCTTGAATACTGGAGCACAAACCTAGGACAAAAAATTATTGCTTTCTTAGTAGTTGCTTGGCTGTTACACACTCTGATGTCCATGCATGTGAATAGTTAAAATAGAGCAGAGAGAAAAGTTTGACATGATTAGTGGCTGTAAAGGCAACTGGTAGTAAGTATAACCTGAGTGTGATAAGTCATTAAAATAACTGTCCTTTTTTTATCAGTAACGGTAGTTTCTAGAAAAGGAGTTTAATAATTTCCTTTTTTTTCCTCTTTGGTAGGTACCTGTTGTTGGAGAAGGCACCAAAACGCCTTGCTGACCGTACACACATTTTTAGCAGTTTCTTCTATAAGTGCCTGACCAGGACAGAAAAAACCTCTGAGGGGGATGTCAAAGTTTCGTAAGTTTGTTTTAGGTGCCATTATGACCAGAAACAAACTATCTATTTATGCCACTTGGAAGTTCTCCAGATCATCTACTGATTAGTACATGAAATAGTAATTGTTGTTCTCCAAAGGATTAGTGGTCGAATATTGTAACTCACAATTAAGCATATTGGTGTTTTTCCTTAAAATCTACATGTGATTCATACTGAATATGAATGAAAATGTTATCATGTTTCTCCAACTTTATCTGAATCTTTACTTTGAACAGTTATTTACGTATTTGATATTTTTATCAGAAACTCAGAGCAAAGTTCTATGAAATGTTGGTTTCTATTTCAACTTGTGCAAATTAAGAAAGCTGAAAATCTAAATTTAGTTTTCTTCTCAGAATTTTCTTATTCTCCTATTGTCATCTCCTCATGCTTTATGTCTGTAGAACTGGAAATTAAATGTGCTCCAGCACTTAAATCTCTGGACTGGAGGGGATCTGTTTCTCTTCTGTGTTTGCTGCAGGTGTGCTAGATGACCCTGTGCAAGGCATTTAGCTTTTTCCCTTCAAAAGATAAGATTGTGTAGACAGGCCTTCAAAAGTGGCATTGGAAAGTTTAATTCATGGATGTTTTTATATTACTATAGATCTGGTTTTACACTGGTGTTTAGATGAGATTTTTGCATTTAGTGTAGTAAATAATAATTACTTGATAAATAACTGCAAGAAATCCATTCAAATCTATGAGTAATTTTTTTCCAGAAGAGTTTGAGATGGTTCAGAAATAGCTTGTTTGTCACTTGGGCTCAATGGTGTGCTGATTTATTTTTAATCTGTGGGGAAATTTCAAGAGTAAGTGAAAAACACATTGAGGGACTGGGGAGGGATAGGAGTCCTAATTCCTCTTCTTGCTTTAACTAAATAGAACAAAACCAAATAACAGTTGTCATTTGGTTTCTTCAGAGTGGCACAGAGAAGACATAGAAGAGTAAGAACATGGACTCGTCGTATAAATATCTTCAGTAAAGATTATATCTTTGTGCCTGTGAATGAGGAGTAAGTCTGTGTGTTTTCAACACTTTTCCTGATATTTAAAGATTTAAATATTTGAATGTTGTGGTGGTAAAAATTTATGGCTGTAGGGTTGGATCACTGGACATGACACTTAAGATTTTGAAGAAGTAACAGGTGTGAAATGGGTGATTTTGAAGTCTGTTCTAAAGACAAAATGCTTATTCAGTTGTCATTAGTAAACTTTGCGCTTTTGGTGTCTATAAAAAGTAGTTTGTAAAAGTAGTACTTCCGTAGTCTGTGCCTTGGCCTGGTTGAATAACTGACCTGGACATGGAAACTCTCTTGTAAAACTGAATAGTCATGGAGAGGTACATATGGAAAACAGGTGCAGAAAGAAATGAGGCTAAAGGTGGGCCAGTACCTTCAGCTATATTCAAAACTGGGATCACCATCACAGATTATTATTTTTTTCTTTTTCCTTACATTTTGGGATGGGTGCCCAAATATTGATAAATTGCTGTGATGAATTTTGGTGGTTTTTTTTTTCAAAGGAATTGATACTGATTTTTGCTGTTATGCCACAGTGCAAAGTGAAAAAATGAATGAGAGGATTGGTATGAGATGCCATAAAGGAACATGGCAATGATGGTTATGTATCACAGAACAGTTGTTCATGAGCTCTCAGTATTATAAAAGCTTTTCATAGCCTTTTGAGAACCAAATGTTACACAGTTTTGACATTTTTCCCCCGTCTCCCTCCTGCTGGGCAGGTCTCATTGGTACATTGCAGTTATCTGTTTCCCTTGGTTAGAAGAAGCTGTGTATGAGGAGTGTCCCCATCAGAATTCCTTATCTCACCAGTCTCCACTTCGGTCAGAGAGTGAGAACACTAGACCTGGTTCAGTGTTCTTCAAGGGTGAAGAAGAAATGGATTCTAACAGAATTTTATTCTCAAAAGGTAGGTAATCTAGAAAAGAATGATGTGAAGCAATATACAGTTCTGATAGTGTCTTAATCCTTGAAGGAGGGAAATTAAGTAAGAGATAGTTTTTAGGATATCAAGGCTGATGTAGTTTGTTTTTATATCACCATGCATAGCAAGGACTGCAAGTTATCTGCAACTCTGGAAAATACTGGAAAGGACATGTAAAATCAGTGATGATTGGGAAGTCATTTCAGTAAGAATTTTATCAGGAAAATTACCCTCAGTAACTCTGCTATTTGAACATTCAGATGGGAATGTTCAAAATTAGTTTATAAATTAGTTCTTCACTATATATTTTGAACACTAATAATCAGGAACTTGAAAATAAAAAAAATTTGGTTAGAAAATATTTTCTTAAAGACTTACTAATTTGTTCTTTTGTACTAGGTGGCAATGAAATTGCTGCTGCTGCTTCAGTTCTAGATTCAGCTATTTCTAAAGTAAGTACCTTTTTGTACTGGCAGAGAAAATGTATTACTCTAGTTCTGAAGGCTGTGAGACTTTGACCAAGTGATTTTGCATCATCTTTTTTGCAGTAGCTATCAATGTTTGCATAGCCTGCAGTATGTGCAAGACATTTTTGATTCGCCTTAAGTCCTCCTTTGCCTACCTATGTTGCTCTGCTATGCTTTCACATGTTTTTAAAAATGATTTATCTGTCTTTCTGAAATGAGAGCTTCTCTCACTACCTTTATATCTATGAAGATGGTAGTTTGTAATTGCTGTTGGTTTCTTTAAAGATTATTTTCTTTTCTTTTCTCTCAGATCTCCCTAAGTAATTCCAAAAGGCAGATTTGTAAAAGGTATGTTTCAGTTTTCTTTCTAATTTTGTAACATTAAATTACATTAAGAAATTCTGCAGTAATTCAGTTATTTTTCATAAAGCCACAACTGTAGGTACTTGTCCATTTTTACCACATTGGTTCAGATATTGATGCTCTTGGTAAGCTCTATTCAAATAAAATACTTGCTTCAGTAGTGTGATAATGAAAGACTGCAATGATTTGTTTGTTTATTTTTGTTGTATACAGGCCTTGTATACTCATCTTAGATTCTTTGAAAGCTGGTTCTGTGCAGAAAACAGTTCAGGTTTTGAGAGAGTAAGTAACTACAATTTCTATCTTTTAACAAGAGATGCTGCTGGTCGTATTTCTATATTCAAAATACTTTTTAAAAACTAATACTTTAAAATTTAAGTGATTGGTTTTCCAAAAGGCTGATGTTCATTTTTTTGGTGACTGTTACAGAATTACAGTGTTAAATCCACTCCTATATATGTGCAAAAACGTAGAAAGTAGACTGAAGCTGTCTAAAAGTTTGATGTGTCAGTATAGTTAGAGTGGAATGGTATTATTTGTTTTGAAAAGTGAGAGTAAAAATATATTCAGTCTTTTATGTGATAAGTATGTAAGTATTGGAAGAATGTCCTAAAAATTTCAGTACTTTTACATGTTCCTCGTTACTTCAACATCTATCAACAACTTTTTAAAAAGTTGTTAGATATTTGAATCAAAACAGAATTGTTCATTTTCTGCTGACCTTCTAGGATGAATCCAGGAAGAATCTGTGTGATAGCCAGGAAAGATTCCTGGAGTTATTCCTTAAGATTTAAAAATGTTCTGGTATCCTAATAGCTCAAAGAAATTCAACACAAATAACTGGTTTTAAGTAATATCATGCCTATTTCTGTTTTGTATATTTCTTATTATGTGGTAGAGATGCCTCTGAGTGCAGTAGAATATTGAATAGTTGAAATAGTGTATAAATTTCTTTGACAGATTCTGTTAAAAATAAATTGATTAAAGCTAGTTTAGCTTTTTGACCAGCTCTGGAACAATAATGAATAGTATCCCCAAAAAACTGAGCTATTTCTCAAGTATTTCAACTGATTGCTTTCTCTTGTAGGTACCTTGAAATGGAATGGGAAGCTAAGCGAAAAACACATCGGGAATTCAGTAAATCAACAATGATTGACCTGTGTCCCAGAGTGCCTAAACAAGATAACAGCAGTGATTGTGGGGTCTATTTGCTGCAATATGTGGAAAGCTTTTTCCAGGTACAAATCAAAACTACCTTCCCCTTTCCACCAAATTACCTTAAACCCCAAAAACGTATTTTTGAAGGAAATAGCCAGACACAAAAGTCTGTGAGGCACAGTGTTAGAAGTGTCAAAGCCATTTGAAGAAGAGGAGATTAAACCCATTCTTCACATAGTGGCTGGGATCTTTATATCTGGTTTCTCATCTGTCTGTCAGCAAACATTTCTGACCCTGTAGTTAAACGTTGCTTTTACAATGACACATTCAATATCCCTAAGTATTTGGGTGTATTTGGAGTCTATTTCATGTACATATCTTTGCATCAGTTCTTGTAGCATCTAAAATTTTGGTCAGCTTGTGCACTGGCCTTTGAGTGACTCTGCAGGCAGCAGCTTCTGGAATGAGTGAGGGGGTAATTCTTAAAAGGGAATGCACAGACCTAAGGGAGCCTCTCTTTTTGTTCAGCACATAGCTTTAGACATCTGCAGATCCTGGGCTTCAGGCACTGCCTTCTAGGGTGTCCCCAAGTCTTCCTCATCCTGATCCAGTGCACTGCCCTCTTGCTCTGTCCTTTGAATGGCTGTGCTTGCTTGGTGCTTAGATGTGTGGTCCACATTCTCTGAGATTCCTGTGCATGCAAAGCCTTGTGTGGGGCCTTGGACAGCGGACAGGTTTTTCTTCTGTGGGAGAACAGATTGCCATTCCAAAGCACCTGTACACTAATGCATACAGTGTGGGGGATAAACGTGAGGAACTGCAGATCTGCATGCAGTTGCAGGGCTAAGATCTTGCTAGGTTCGTGGGGATGTTGTGAGATACCTCATGTGGCAGGTGTGCCACAATGGATAGATAAGACTCTTCAGAAAGGGCAGGCAGGGAAGACAAGGAGGTAGAGTTACCCTTGATGTGAGAGCAGCTGGAATGCATGAATCTCTGCCTCGGGTTGGATGAGAAGCCATCTGAGAGTTTATGGGTAGTGACTAAAGAGCAGGCTAATATGGGTGACATAGTAGTGGGCATCTGCTGTAGGCCGCCTGATCAAGGAGTGGAACCATGAGTACCTTTTGGTAAGGGTATGTATATATGTGATTATGATGGAGGAACTGGAATTTGACTTTGATGCCTGTCACACTCGTGTGGGAACTTGTTTGTGCCTCCTTGGTCTCAGCAGCAGTGGAAGGGTTTGAAATTCTTTTTGAAGGTTGCTTTGGGAAATTCATGCCGTAAATATTCCTTTTTCTGTCACCAGAACCCTATAGTTAACTTTGAAGAACCACTGCATCTGGAGGATTGGTTCCCTCGTCAGCTAATCAGAAGCAAAAGAGAAGAAATTCGTGACCTGATCTTGCAACTGCACTTTCAACAGCATAGTGGCAGCAGCAGCTAATAAATCTAATAAGGCAGACCTAGCAAAGGACACTGCTGTATAAAGTAACTGGAACTCTGCCTAGCAGCACTTGGTCTCTCCCTGCCTTGCAAGGAAGACAGAAAAACCCCACAAAAAGTATTTTTTGTTCAGCATGTATTTATTTAAAGATTTTTTTTTTTTTCAATGGTGTTGTGTGGTCTTAGAATGCTGGGGGGGGGAAGGGAGAAGGTTGTAGCTAAGAGTGTAAATATAAGTTAAAGCTAATGCACATGGATTGCTAATTGAACCTTTGTTTGGCATATGAAAGCTGCTTACAGGTGTGTGCCACAAGGATATAAAAATACTTTCATCTTATGGAGCCTTTTCTTTATATTTCTATATCAACGTGAATGGTATATAAACATAGAGTTGGCCCTGAAGACAGGATTTTGATCCTGTATGTGTCTTTTGATTTTGCAACTGATACAAATAGAGTGAATACTATGTATTGTTTTAATTTAAGGATGTAATATTGACTCTCTTTAGAGATTTATGTTTTTGTTTTGTTTCTGATTATATACTGATATAATCTGCATGTGTCAGAAAATTCTGCCAAGATTTGAGGCTGAGTTTTTGTTGTATTTTTTATTAGTATTATTTCCCTCCCTGTCATTTTCTTCATAAAAATGAGTTTCCCGGAGTGGAAGACATTTGCTTGAGAGTGACTGTTGAAATACTCTAAAGTCAAGAGTGGATTTTTTTAAAGTATTTTTTATTATTATTTTTCTTATCAGATTTCAGAAGACAACTTGCTCTCAAAGTACATGCCAATACAATATGTGTAGGCAGTAGATTTTTAATGCTGTTCACCTATTTTTTGGGAATAGTTTCTCCAAATCTTATGGTATCACCTGCATTAGCAAGGCAAGCGGGCTGTGCCTTAACAACCTCAAAAGTCTGAGGGGTTTTACTGAAAATTAAGGTCAATATGTTTATGTGATATGTCTTTAAGATATGTTATTTACATATAAGACAAACAGGATTTACACTTTGCTTAGGAGAATTGCATAAAGATGCCTGAATATTGAGTGTTTGAACTCAGACTTGATTTGATAAACTAGCACAAGTTTATCAATCTGCCTACGTATTTATGTAGTTTTTGTCAAATAGTGATCACATAAAATTTTAATAACATTTTGATGTGCACACTTTTTTCTGTATTTACTGCATGATAGAAGGTGATCATTTTAAGAGGATGTTTTCTCCTGTTCTCCACTGTAAGTTCAAGTGTCGTCTCACCCTTCAGAAGATGTGTCAGATAACCACAAAAACCACTTGTGTCATGAAATAATCTACAAAACCAGAACTCTTAAAGCTGGAAGTAGGATAGAGAGTTAAAATAAGAATTGAGGGCAACCCAAAGATGTGAACATTTTTATGTCGTTGCAGAATTCTCAGGGCCCCTTCCCTCAAGACAGAGTAACTCTGAAACCAAGCACTTGGAAAATCCAGTTATTACTTCAGGTTCTGTACAGTCATCCAACACCTCCCCACCCCCCCTTATTGTTTCTCAAACCAGGAAGCATTTTTGCTGGAGCAGAGAGGCAATTTGAAAACAAAGCAATTTGCTGAGCGCAGTTACCTTCTGTATAGCTGTGAGCAGCCTAGTACAGTTACTGTATGTTTTTTGTCTTTGTTTCTACTTTAATTCTGTAGTTTGTCACTGCCCCTCCTCCCCTGCACCCCACCAACAGCTCTCCCTCTCATCCTGGAGTTTGTGTTGTTCAGTACCTAAATCACAACACCAGCATTACTTACGAGGTTGATCTGTGTATTTATTGTAAAACAAATGAAAGATAAAATGCAGAAATGTGTGCCCTTTGTTAATTGATGAATATTTTCAGTGTTTCCTTATGAAAAATAGTTCAGGCTTTTTCTTATGGTAAAGTTAGTTTTTATCATCAAGCAACTTGTTCTTTTTCAGATTGACTGGTTTATAGATGTTTAAAAGCAAAAATAATGTACAAATTTTTCTAAATTGATTTTATAGCATGAAAGGATTGACTTTTTAGATTTGCTACATATGTGCTATGAGAATGCCAATGCATTTGATATTAAAATTACCTCCAGAAGTTACTGAATGTGATTGTTACTGTTCTTTTCCCAGCTGCCACAAATAACTCATAAGTGAAAGATAGGCTGTCTTGCTGCTTTTAAGGTGTATACACAGTATGTGTCTCTGAATGCAAATGTCTGTCAAAGGCATTATTGGACCACCAGCTGCAACCCCTCTCATTCCAGCCATTTGCATTTACCAGGTATGTGGTAAATCCTGGGAAGTGTCTGTGGAAGAAGTTACTCTCCAGGTACTTTAGTACTTCCTTTTTATTTGCTGACATTCCCCAAAGTTAACTTTTATCATGTGTAAGGCACCAGTCTGACTCAGGGACCCTTTTGCACATTCCTGTGTTTCCATTTCCTATATTAACCCCTGTTTAACTGAAATGGTGGAGCGACATGATACTTGAAAGCAAACCAATCTTTGTAAGACTTTATCCTAAGCTGTGTAATTTTGGTTTCAAGGCAGTCTATTGTACCCAAAGTGTTAAATGTAACTGTCAGTTTCGTTCTTCTGCATTCTGTCTTCGTGGGACCAGAAAGTGGCTTCCATGAAGAAATCTGAGTCATGGAGATCCATTTAAGGTACTGTTGGCAAGCACAACAAAAGATCTTTCAGGAAAAATATTTAAAAAACCTAAGATTTCATCAAGAACTGGAGAAGTGAACTTGCAAGTGTGATTTTTTTTTTTTTTTTTTTTTTTTTTTTTTTTTTTTTTTTTTTAAAGCATCCAGGGACTACTGTGTTTTTCCTCTGGAATTGCAGGCATAGATTCATCGCAGTCCATCTGTGCTTTTGTGGGACTTGCCTCCTAGAACTTGACCCTGAGATGAGCTTGCAGTACTCAGTACATACTACCTTACAAAATAATAAGGCTTGAAGACCACAGTATTAACACTTTTATCTTGGTTATGGCAAAGAAGCAGAATTTTGCTTCTTACAACCCCCCTGCCTGCCCCTCCCCCGTTCCCCACCCAAAAAGACACCAACTGTTTCCAGATGGAAAAGTAGGAATGACACTTGAGAGGTCTCAGTATTGAAAATGTGTCAAATAAGGCCAAGACTAAGCAATAATTCTGTTCAACAAAATTGAAGTTGGAAATACTGTTCAAAGATGAAGCATGAACACTGGGATCATCTTTGACTGTTGAACATGGTAAGAGATTTCTGATCAACAATTCAGAAAAGGAGGAATGCTGGGAGTAGGTCTACATTACACAGACAGAGTAGATAATGAAGTGTGAGATTTATTTGGTTGACCTCGCTTCCTAATTTTTCTGCTCCAAATACTTTACAATACTACACAATGGAAGAGATGTCAGTACAGCAGGCTTTGGGGAGCTGAATTTGGTCAGCTGGAGGGTTAAACAGCCTCAAAATGTGTTTATTCTTGAGAGGTAGTTCACCAGAGAACTCTACAAGAGCACAGGTAAAAAGTGGTGATGGTAAAATGCTTGGCAACAGCAACCACAGCAACTGAACAAGTGAAGAGGTTTTGTCTAACGTAATTGCCTCAGCTAAACTGATTAGGAATTTCGTTGCTGAATCCTGTCAGATGCCATAAAATCAGTTGCTGTATCCAGTCACAGGAGGCAATTTATAATCTTGATAGTAAACCACATGAGCTTGGGGATAGTGGGTGTCTGCCACGATGTGTTTTTTTATTAGAGGCATTTTCATTCAAGTATACCTTTATTTTGTATTCTGTAGTTACAGATGAGTGAATTTAGCATTTTGAATAAATTGCATTTGAACAACAAGGACATTATTTGGAACAGTATGTGTGCTGTAGCAGAATTTCAGTGAGCATTACCCTGTAGAGAACTATAATTCAGCTAATCACACTTGCTGTATGAAAGTGCATGTCATTTCTTCTCAGAAATATAAACTGTCAGAAAACTGTCTTTATTTTTGGAGGTACTGGGGTGACCTTGGCCTGTTTCATCACTATAATTACACTTCCCTTTTTTTCTCATTCAGCAAGAATATGCTTTTCCTGAATAGTTTTGAACAGATACAACTTGGCTGCTGGAAATAAAGGATTACACATCTTCTGGTACAAAGTGTTACTGTAAAGGCTGTAGTCAAATCAATGGAGTTAATTTTCCACAGTTATTTTGGAAATCTATTGCAAGAGTTATTTTGCTTGCTTTGAGGAACTTTGGATGATGATTGTATTTTTAATTATGCCTTTTGCTATTGTATATGTAGGAGATTTTCAGCTGTTCCAAATCTACATTTCAGTGCTGAAATCAGTTGAATTTAACATTGATAGCTTGAACTAATATTAATAAAACTGAATTTAAATTTTTAAAATATTTTATCACACAGAAGCTGACATAACCATAGTATAGAAAAATTTTGACAGAGATATAAAGGAGTTGGGTTTTATACTATTCACATTCTCAGTGCCTTTGAGTACTTTGCTGATGAAAGAAACAGCGATGCTGTAAATCTAAAAACTCTCCAGGAAAGCTTTTAATTGGGTTTTATGCTTTTAATTGGGTTTCATACTTTTACTGAAGTATGTGTATTCTGAGAATTGTCTGTAAAAGGATTAGTTGTCACGTATTCTGGGCACCATTGCAAGGCTGGTCCTGTGCCGTTCAGTTTTCAGCTCCAGTGTGGTGACTGCACGTGATGGTGCTGCCAGCATTGTAGTTAGCTTGACAGAGACAGACTAGCTCAACAGTGATGGTTTGATAGATCAAAAATGTCTGATTGTAAGAAAACTGGGGTCGTTTGAGTAGCTCAGTGGTTAAACTGAAAGTGTAATGTAATAGGTTTGTGGGGGGAAAAAAAACAACCGAAGAACATATATTGATGTTTTGAAAAATACCAACTGGAATCTGTTTCATGTCAGAAGACAGAGCCTAAAAACAAATTATCAGTATTAATACTGATAATTCCTGATATGTGAGTCCCTGGGAGCTCAAAAGAGCAGCTGGAAGAGAGGAGTGAGCACTGTATGCTTAAGCTGCTCTGTACAAAAGCTCTGCAGACAGATACCTGGGAAGCCTTGGGAATCCAGCTTGGAAATGCTTACACAAAACCACTACCAAAAATAGTCACTTCAGACAAAACAGCAGTTTGTTCAGATTGATCTGAACGCAGTAACCAGCAAGTCCTGAGTACCACTACCCAGGAGACAGCCCTGGAGATCTCCTAGTTGTCTGAATACAGTCTGCCATTGCAGGACAGCTTCTGTACACGTTTCCGCAGCGACCTGACCCCGGACAGGATGTGCTCCTGAGAGTGCTGCTGCTTTCCAGTACTCTCTCCTTTCTGTACTTGTCCTTAGCTGATGATCTCTTCAGGTGTCTACACTGATTTGTTCCTACTGCTTGTGTCAGGTAATACCTGAACAGAGATGAAAGAATCACAGCCTGCCCTGGATTTATCTTTGGAGGAAGCACTGTTTTTGGGATGCAGGGGATAGTGGTGTAAGACTTTCTCCTTTAGCACAAACTTGGGCAGCAGCCCTGTCACCAGAAAAAACAGTCCTACAGAAAGGTTGCTTCAGTGCTTACACATGCAATGGTGTTTAAGTGAACCATACATTTATGTATGTGTATATATTTGTATAGGCAGAAGACAAAGCGCACTGAGACCTTCCACTGGAGACTAGCATGCTCCCTCTAATGCTTTGTGGTCAACATGGTTTTAAAAAAGAGAAGAAATGGAAAGGCCAATGAAAAAACGTGGTTAATTGGATGTGAAAGGTGCTGTCCTTGTTTGGACTGTCTGTTAATGGTATGACAAGCTCTGGTAAAGAGCTTAGCTGGTCAGATTAAAATTAAAAAATTGTGTCAGTCCATCTGCTACCTCCCAGGAGTTCACTTCAATCACCTTTTCTTGTTTCTTCACTGAAGTGGAATACTGTCTTTGAAAAGAACATTCCCAGGATGTCTTGGTTGACTTGTTTTACCTAATGTTTTCTCCGAAGATAATGATATGTGACGTCAAGACGTTTTCAAGAAGGGCAATGCTCTTGTTTGGTTCAACACTACCTTAAAGGCAACAGCTCTTTTGCTAAAAGGGATTTTTTTTTTTTTTGCTTTTTTATTTATTTTTTTTATACACAAATAAGTATGTTTGGCTTAATTTGGAAAATCTTTCTTTGCCTTCCGGGAATGATTAACGCCGATCTTCAGGTAGTTGCAGGTAATGCAGAAATCTTACTTATGTACTTGTTTTCTAAGTTTACTTATGGCAGTGTGTAGAATTAGAAATACGTCTCTGCTTTAATTGTAACAAAGGGGGCTAATACAGAGAAATGTTTGGTCAAATCTGTGCCTTGATAGCAGTGTAAATATGGAATATTTAGAGTGATTTCCACGAAGCGTAACAGCACATTTGTGGTTTTTTGAGTGGAGGCAATTTTTCTAACTTTGGGAGATGTTAAACACTGGTAATTTTTTTCTTCCTTATTGATTTTGTATTAGATCTTAAAAAGTAAGGTTCTGTCTTCTGCTTATGGACACTGAATACGTGTCAGTTTGAGTAAAGATTGGGATTTTGCCTTAGTGACATTTTTGATGTTCTTTTCTCCCTCTGATGTACCATCTGGTGGTGATCTTCTGCACTAGAGCTGACTATTAATATAACATCAAAATAATCCCAGTCTTCATCTTTCAGTCATAGAAGTCAAAGGTGCTACTGACTTTGAAGTTGCAGAATAAACTCATAATCTGTGGAATGAAAAATGCCATAGAGTTATTACTGTTCTTTCTCCAATAAATAATTTCTTGTGATTCTTCTTCAGGCATGTTTTCTGGGGAAAAAGTTAAAGAGGTTGAATTAAATAATTTTGGATCAGCTGACTGTGAAGGATAGAGAACTAGACTGTCAGACTAAATCCCAATATACACATTCTATCCTAAACTGTTTCCACAAGTTTCCTCTGGAATGATGTGGAACAACTAGTATAAGAGGAAATTAACCAAACCCCTAAAGCTGATGAGCTCTTTTATTACTTTTTTTTCCCTTTGCTCTAGTTGAGTAGGGACCTGTCTCATAGCAGTGAAAGGTGTACCTGTTAGCTGTCCGTTCAAGCAGCTTTTCTTTTTGCAAGAGTTATAAATGTTTCCTGTGAAAAGAAAGTGTAATAAGAGTAGTCCTTAATTTATGACTTATTTAATTTCTGGTCCTGAAAGCTTCTAAATACATTTTTATTCACAAATATAGTCCCATTGACTTAGCCAAGCCAAATCACAGAAGGGAAGTCAACCAAAAAGCATTAGAATTCAAAGGGTTAGAGCTTTGGGCTGTGTAACCATTTGATGGGATGCTGTAAAGAGCTTAAGGTTGTTTATAATAGGACAGTCATACAGACAGGTTCTGTTAACAGAAAAAAGCACAGTTTTGTCCTCCAGGGACGATAGAAATGGCATGAAGATACATATGTATGATTTCATCATTATCGCATTTGAGAAATTCATTTGTGATTTTAATTTTACAGCAGAAGTTTATTCAGCTACAGGAGGAGGACAGGCTAAAGGTGTTTCACCAACCCCTCAGCTCAGTGGCTGGCAGTTGGCAAACCCTTCTCTACCTCCTGAGTTGAAAAAGCCCAATGGCATCATGGAGGCTGAACAGTTCAACAGGCATTTGCTGTTACGAAGGAAGCGATCCATTCTGTTTCCCAGTGGAGTTAAGATCTGCCCTGATGAATCTATTGAGCAGGCTATTGCCAACCACCTGAAATATTTCAGGCTCAGAGGTAAGTGACTGTAAATCTCATGGATGCAAAGAACATGTAATTATGAAAATAAATAGATTAAGCTTTTAAACACAGTAAATATGAGGCCATAGGAAATACATTATTACCCAAGAAATTAATTTTCTGTGATAATCTTCCTTAAGAGAGCTGTTCTGAGCTAAAAACCCACCTTCTGGTTACACTCATAAGAACTCTGGGTCCCTGGAACCTCAGTGTTTAATAAACTCATCCTTTCTCACAGAACAGTTTGAATGCTGAGAAAAACAGGGTTTTAGCAGGTTATGCAGGTTAGCTAAATGAATGTTTTTTATTTAGTATTCTTCAAGTGCTAGCAGAATTCACTGGGAAACCAGTCAGAAGAGTCAAATCTGAGGCATTGGTGTCTCAAGCATGTGACTTTTGACTGTGGCTGGTCACACAAAGCATAGTATGTTCTGTCTAGAAAGCCAATCTCTGTGTATCAGGCTGTAGTGTAGTAGACAAGAAGCCTCTCTTTTAAGATATGGGAGTTGGACAGAGCTTTCCCTGAAAAGTTGAAATATTCTTTCACTTGATGAAATATTAGAGCAATATGATGTACCTCAAACCATTCTGGCTGACAACACTGAAGTGGGGTGTCACATGCAGTACCTTCTGGTATTTGTGTCTTTGTATCGTAGCATTCAAAAAGTTTGTAGTATCTTAACATTTGTACATGTGCAAAATGGCAAAGAGGTGCTGTCACAGGAGAAGGAAGGATGTTCAGAGACTCATTTTTAGTGAGACTTGATTGCCTATAGAAGAAACTAACTGGTAATACAGTTAATTCACTTAGAGAAGTGAAAAACGATTAGAAGCAGGAGTTGCTTAGTGTCTGCATAAAAGTAAACATAAAGAATATACTTGGAGGACAAAGTGGAATTATATGAGATTAGACCCTTATTCAAATATGAATTGTGCCCAGCTGGCAAGGGATGTTGACATTGGTGATCATGCTGGCAGTTTGACAGGCTTTGCCATCTTCCTGTTTATTTCCACCTAATAGTACTCAACTACTCTTTGCTTTGCTCCCAATGAATCCATACATACTGTGTGCTTTAAACTGCAATCACCCCTCAATTGTCTGTGATATTGACACATAAGGACAATATCAAGTAAGCAAAAGTGTGAGCGATAATAAAGAAGAAAAATCCATAAATTATGTTGTGAAAGTGTATATAGGACTTAATGATCCTAGGCTGAACCAAAAATCCACCTATTCCATCTGCTTCCTTACTGGGCTTAACAGCTTTCACAAGCCACAAGGATTTCTTGAGCACAAATGCTATGACAATCCTAAGCACTTTTAACTTAAAACTTTTGAAAAAGGTCTTTGCAAGTAGCAGGGGTGACTTTAAGTAGCAGCTGGTAGAGCAAGATCTGGTTCAAGCAGCTTGTCATCTTCATTTTGGTAGGAGCAACACTTTGCACCCTGTTTGGTGGTGTCTAGTTAATCACATCCTGAGTAAATACACCTGAGGTACATGAGAGTTGATGTGCTGTGGGATAGGTTTGTGTGACAAGGTTTTGGTAGTAGGGGGCTACAGGGGTGACTTCTCTGAGAAGCTGCCAGAAGCTTCCCCCATGTCCAGTAGAGGCAATTCCAGCTGGCTCCAAGACAGACCTGCTGCTGGCCAAGGCTGATCCCATCAGCAACAGTGGCAACACCTCTGGAGTAACATATCTAAGAAAGGGAAAAAGCTGCTGCAGAACAGCAATTGCAGTTGAAGAGTGAGAATGTGTGAGAGAAACAGCTGTGATGAACTGATCACAGCCCCAATCCCTTATCCCCCTGTACCACTGCAGGTGAGGAGTTAGAGAAAACCAGAAGTGAAGTTAAGCCTGGGAAGAAGGGAGAGGTGGGAGGAAGGTGTTTCAAGGTGTTTCAAGATTCGTTTTTGTTTCTCATTGTCCTGCTCAGATTTGATTGGTAGTAAATTAAACAAATATCCCTAAGTTGAGCCTGTCTTGCCCATAACAGTAACTGGTGAGTTGTCTCTCCCTGTCCTTTTCTTGACTCACAAGCCTTTTGTTATATTTTCTCTCCTCTGTCTGACTGTGGAAGGAAGTGGTAGCACAGGTTTGGTGGGCACCTGATGTCCAGCCAGAGTCAACCCTTCATTCACAGTAAAACCGTTTCCTGCGTATTACTGAATTATATACAATGTTTCTATTAGCTAGCTGAATCACCACAGTCCCCTGTCAACAAAACAGTCCTAGGAAAGAGCGTGGTCACTGTCACTCAGAGACCAGCTGCTGTCAGTGACTAGTAAAGTAACTGACCACAAGGGGAATAAATATGAATGTACACAGAATCTGCTGAATTTTTGAATCCCAGTGTGTATTTTTAGAATCTTCTTTTTATTCTGTATCTGCTGAAATAAGAAATTGCTTCGATCTCCCATACTTTCTCTGGAAAGGATGGTTTCAATACAATCTATTCTTTCCTTGGTTTTGTTTTACTGTCAGCAATAAACAGTGCCACTACCTTGCAAGGAAAGGTCGATTGCTATTTTGATGGAAGATCTTGTTAGAAAAGCAGAAAAGGTTTGCATGTGCTGATTATCCAGATTATGTTTGTTCTATCTGTGTCTACCTTAGAAGGAAACAGGTGGGAGTATAATTATCTACCTGTAGCTCCTAGTTTTATTTACTTTTGCTAGCTGGCAAAAGCCTCTGTAAGTGTCAGAGACTGACAGATGAACGCTTCTGTCATAGGCTTTAAGGAAGTGCTTATGTCGTGTTGCTGTAGGCTTAACAGCTTTTTTTTTTTTTCTCTGACTACAACATCTGGATTTCAGATAGTGAGTGGGCTGTGTATGGTAATACCTATTATGAATAGTGATGTTCTTTACTGCTCACAGGGAAATGATAGTCTGAGCCCCAATCAAGTAAAATTTATTACACAAAAAATAGTCATACCCTCTCAGACCAAAAGTCTGTTGTGACCAGTCACCTTATGTAGACAATTCAGTGAATCTGTCCATTCTCTGTTGTGTAAATTGCTGGTAGATGGCTGAGGATTGTAATAGACTTAGCAGGTTAAACAGAAACAATATAAAGATTACAAAATAGCATGACTTGTACTGTTTCCCTGTCCCATGCCTGTTAATTGGGTAAAGAGAGGCTGCTGGATTCTGCTGGATTCTAACACCATGGTTCAGGGTAATACTGTTTCTCTCTGCCATCTCTGAGATGTAATTACTCTGGTGGCTACCTTTGCTAAATTCTGTTAACAACTTTTCCTGCTGTGACCTCTGTCTTAAACTATTCAGTGTATGCTTGTGAGCAAGTACATCTTTTCGCATGAGTAAATCAGATAGTCTCTCTGCCAGAACTGTGTTTGTCAGCCAGAACTTCAGATAAAGTTGAACATCTAAGGATAGCTTTTGAAGATAGTGACCAAACAAGGAAATAGAGGGCATTGTAGTGTGTCATAGCTGATGAGGCACGCAGGCATTTTTGAACTTTGGAAAGAGTAAAAACTGTTTCTCGGGAATTAAATGCTATGTATGATTATAATCCCCAAATTTGGTAATCTTGGGCATGGCACTGTGCTTGCTCATCTTCCCATTTCTTGGGTTCCTTCAAATCTGTTTACTTAAGCATTAGGAATAATGTTATCTTCTGCACATTGACAGAGTAAAGACTAAAGTTTCCATTTGATACTGAAATCCTAAATGTTATAGATTATTCAGATCTTGCTAATAATGATGAAAGCAAACAGTCAAGTCAGAAAAAGTACCTGGCTAAAAAAACCATTCAATAAATAAAGAATCTGGCTGAGTGAGCCTTTTTTCCCGTTTTCCCCCTCATCCCTGGCACGTATTATGCATAGTTCTTACCCTGCAATAAATTTTTGAAGTTTATTTGTAGAAGGACTAATTCTGACTCCCTCTGCATTTGAATTTTTAGATGTCAGTATATGCTTCTAAGAAGCTTGACTTTTTCCATGAAGAACACTCCTTTGTTGTTACTGAAGTATTACTGGTGAAAATAGTTTGTGAGCTAGAGATTAGTATGTTAGTGTTCAAAGAAAAAATCTTTCATGTGGATTAGCTAATTCACACTCAACTCGTTGTCAATTTAATATCCTGGTGTGTTTTATAAATTGTTTAAGGGTTGCTGTGTTATAGGCCATAAACAATAGCATTTCAGCAATAGATGAGTCATTTCTCTGCCTGTGTGTATTAGTTCATTTAACAAGTGCTAACGAAGTCTTTGCAGGGAAGACCTCTTAGGAGGTGTCTGTCACTTTAGTCTTAATCAAACCCCTCTGCAATTAAGCCATTCAGTTGTGCAGAAATTGTTAGAGAGGAGGAGTTATTGGTCTCATGTTGCCTCAAAATAGAATTTTCAACCTGATTCAGTGCTCCTAGCCACCATACACGATTCAACTCTTAAGAAGCACTAATGAGATTTAACTTGGATTACACTCCAGCACTGCCCACTTACACAAATGGCCAGAAAGCCACCCTACCCCCTACAGGGTGCTCAGTGCTGTCATGTGGTGCCCCTTCTGTTAACCTCAGAAATCCCTGAGCACAGACTGAGTGTAATAGGCTAATTGTCTCTGTTTGAGAGATAAATGAATCCCCAATGGTAAAGCTTGAACCACAAGAATGCTGTGTCCTACCCAGGTGCATGAGATGTGTTGCCATACTGGAGAATTTCAGAAAGAGTGAGAGAGATCATCTCATCACATCACAGCTCTTAGCCAGAGGCTTTGAAAACAGCGATTAAGTCTTTAAGAAAGGAAGCTTGAAATAAATTTTTTTCACTCCTTCCTGCAGATTTCTAACACTGAAAAGAGCTTGTGCCTGCCTATGTGGAATTTTTTTGACTGAAACACAACTATCTTAAGCTTTTCAGGATATTCTCTGTTGTCTGTGAGCATCACTTGAGTGTAAACACTGCATTTGAAGTAGACAAGCTCCCAAGAGCTGGGCTTTTCGCCTTTTGAATCAGATATGCTAGCAAACAAGTTATATGGTCTTACAACATGTCCAGCTTTCTGAAGCAGCCTTTGAAACCTGTTATGGCCTTTAAAGGTCGAGACATTGCCTACTTTAAGTCCTTGTGACACTTGGCTCAAGCAGAAGTTTGCACAAGGGCATGGACCACACATTCCAGTCTTTCAATTTTCTCCCGTCTCCCCTCTCACCTTGAAGATGATTATCTAAATGATGAGCTAAGTGACTTTTAATTTCCAAGGTTTTTCAGGATGGAGTACATGGAAAATGTAGTACGTGTATACAAAGTGTACTTTGGAGACAAACTGCACAACAAGCCATGTGATTTGCATTCCTGGTTTCAATTCTGGTTTATTGTGCCAGTCAGTTACATGTCTTCGGCATACCTGTTTCCTTTCCTGTAGTCAGCTGGAATGATCACATCCCCGTAGCAGGAAGTCTCTCTTTATGTCATAAGCCTTCATTTCTTTAACATTTGAATTACTCAGAGGAAAATTGCAAGGTAGCCAAGAGATGTTTCAACAGTAAAATACAAATTATTTATTATTGCAGCCATGGGATGACAGAAGAAATTTCCTAGAAGAGCTTACCTTCCCATCTATGAGTAGCTTCAAGACCCTTAGCTCACTGCCTTAAAAGATTGGTCTCAATTTTATGATTCTTTTTATCTGTTTTGTTTGCTGGGGATTAAAGGCCTCATTGCAAATCCTGTCTCCTCCAGGGCCCGGTGCTCCTAATGCTGTCCCGCATATCTGCACCAGTGGCCAACCCTGTAACGGGCTAGTGAAAGTGTGGCATGAGATCTAGCCATGAAGACTGGCTGGCTCTTCACACGTGCCCTGAGGGCTGATCTGCTGTTCAGGTGGCATGTGGCAATGCTGCTGGGTCTGCTCAGCCATTCCTTCCTGATGCTGGCAGGACTGGCTGCTTGACTGGTTGTTTTTAAGACCTTCATAGCTAGTCTTAGGAACATAAATCCTGGAAAGATCATAATGCAAAGCCTATTCAACAGCTTCAGTCACAACTCTGAACTGTTGGGCTCCTGGCAAGTTATTATAAGCTCTAACGTGGCAATTTTTCTTCCATTCCCTATCTACTGTAAATGTTTTATATTTAAAAGTCAGTTACATTTCTAATTAAAAAGTTTAAGGGGTAAACTGTTTGGTTCCCCCGACTCTCATTTTCTTTCATTTTCTCTTTTGGTTTCAAGGAGTTTTTATTTTATTTTAAATCTTAGTCAAAAGCTGCTTCACATATTGTCAGCATATGTAGACAGTGTATGTGACACAGATACTGGCAAGTTTCTGGAAGGTCAGAAAGAAAAGATAGTGAGTTATTTTTATACAGTAAGCTAGAGTTATTTACTGAAGCTTCCAGTAAAGTCCTTTTTATCTTTATGGTTTCATGCTCCAACTTTTGCCTACAGAGTCTCAGAATGCTTAAAATCTAGTTAATGAAAAACATATTTTTCTTATATGGGAGTTCTCAAGAATTTGTTGATAAGAAACCTTGGAAAACCTCCCTAGTAAAGAAAAACCAAAAACCTATCACGGGGTGGAATCCACCTTCAAGTTAAAAACTGGTTAATCACATTTATTAGGTGACTTGAATGCACTATGAGCATAGTGTCTCTTCAGTTCCCTGTGTGGCCACGTCAATGAAGCTGGCTCCTGGCTTCAAAGAACTAGCTCCTTTTTTGACATATCTGAAGCAGTGATGGGAGAGAGAATTGTGCTTGTTTCCCTTACATATATGTGGTTTGAACCACACCAAATAAACTGTGCTGCTCTCTTTCTGCGCTTGGAATCGCAACTCTCATCTACCTACAAAACGATGAAAACATTTATGACAAAGACTGAAACAAAATTGTTTTCTTAACTGGGCTTTGAATTTGTTCTTGAACACCATATAGATAAGCCTATCTGGGGATGGTTTTTGTGTTGAGCCCTTACAACCTGGATTTGTTATCCTGTAAAGCAATCCCCCGGTTTACAAACTGACCAGTTGGAATAAATAGGACAACGACAAGATGGACTGTGTGTCAACAAGGTTGCAGGGTGAGTGTGTTGGCAAGCAGCTCACCATGGCTGAGGATCTGGTTTCAAGTATTAAATGGCAGTTGTGGTAGATGTTTGCCTGCTTTTAATCCCTCCCTGTGTGTCAGAACTAACACACTCTCATACTGCACAGGAGGAAGAAATGTGCCCACCTTTTCCTTCTGAATACAGACGGAATTTGCACCCTGTTGTCCAGCTTGTTACTGCTCACCTCAGTGGAAACAGCTAGGTAGGACAGGCTAGAGAGAACAAAATATGACTCCTTATCCACGTCCCACTTCCTTCTTCCACAGAATCCATGACTGTGTTCTGACAACTTAGGTCTAATTAACGGGCTTGGAGCCCACAGATGGCACAAAGCTTTTGGGACTGGAATTCAGTGGGGTGTCTAATTCCAAATGAAAGGACACACAACAAATCCTTAATCTATTGGGAGCCAATTGGAACAACTGTTCATATGGGAGCAGCTTGTATTCAGGCAAGACACTGTCTCATCACATTTATTTTAAACTTATTTAAGAGCATTAAGGAAAACTGTCTTCAATTACTTGCAACTGGAAAGCCAGTCCTTTGCCTGTTGCCCTTTGAAAACTGTAGGATTAGACAGTGTCACTGCAATGTGCAAGCTCTTTTGTCATAGCTTCAGTTCTTACTGACAGTCTGCTGAGGACTTATCCCAGCCCAAGGGAGTAATCTCATTCCAGGATTGTTGCTTTATAATGTTGCACCTGGAGTGAAAGATCCATTAGTCAAAGTCTAGTATACAAGTATCACCAAAAGAAATGAGAGCCTTAGTGTAGGCTTCTGGATTTGATACTAGACTTCAGTCTTTTCCCAGATGCCTAGCTCTTACAAGTGGGATGGTAGAGAGAATACTGCAGATGTTGTTCTGCCTCAGGAAGCTTATTAGTACTCTAGCAGGATCCAGAAATCCCAGAGCAGGATTATGGCTTCATTGCCTGAGGTCTCTGCAGAGGTCATACGGAAATGTGGTCCCTGCCTAAAGAATTTTGCAAGGGTAACTTGAGGGGACGATATGAGATGGTACGTGGATGCCTGTCAATTTGTTTCTGATTAATGAAGATGCAGAAGTGAAACTGATTGGAAACATATCCAGTACTTTCCAAATTAGTGGTTTTTACAACTGCCTGTAGAGGTTCTGGAATAGTATTACACTATTGACAGTTAATAATGCAGAATTTGGGGACCGTGTTCTTCTCTGGTCATACATATCAAAGGAGCTACAAGGCTGATCTCCCCACAGGAAAGCTGTCAGGAGTTTGGCATAGAAATGAGACATATCTGTGTATCTGCAGAGTTCCACAATGGAGAAATGGTCTCAACTGCTCTGATAAACTAAAATTCAAGGTTGAAAAAAAGAAAAGAACTTCTTCTCCATGGTACCATCCAGTGTGCCAGAATCAGCTAAGCTTTAAGGGTGTTACTGCATGGGAAACAGTTCCTTAAGGTTATTATTTGCAAAGCCTTTGCATTTAAGAAAAATGTCTATCTCTTAGTTGAATGAAAATATGTTTCCATATGTAATCTATGTGTTAAGTTTTACACATGCACATAAAAACAATTTTGGAATCCAGAATACAAAGTATCAAGAATAAATAACAGTAAGGTGCTGGTTTTGGCAGCCTAGAGTTAATTTTTAAATTGATTGAAGAAAATGACTTTCTGAAAATAGATTCATGGGCAGTCTCCTGTAGGGTTTTGCTTACGACGTCAGGACTCTCCCGGAACACAAAGCATTCCTCTACTGGGCTGCCTCTATATAAACAGTGAGATCAGATCAAGGCCAAAAAGCAGGTTTATCTGCCACTACTCCAGCCTGGCATTTGTTGTGAGTGATTTTTAGAGTTCACCTTTTAATGTCATTCTCCTCTAGGACACAGGGAAAATCCTATAAATCTTCCTCTCTTCCAGTTATCCTGGATCACAGAGAGGTTCTTGCTTAAGGGTAGTGTGACCAACTGCTCTGATTGGCAAAGAGCACATGCGAGATAGAGATCGGGAGGTTAAAGCAGCCAGGATAGTACAAGATAATTTAACCCCTAATTCTCAGTCTGACTGTTGAGAGCTGTCCAGTTCTTTCTCAGTGGATATATGCAGTAGGGTTAGAGCTTGCCTTATTTCTTAGCATATTATTGTCTTTTCATCATCCTGCCTTGTTTTTCAAGTTATTCATGCGACTATAATTCCTAAAACACATTTTAAATTCTGTGTAAAGATGAGTCCAAAGGAATTGTTCCTACTTGAGCCTCTAAAACTTTGAATGGTGCCACTATCATTCTTACAAATTAAGTTCCAGCTCTACTTTCTGTGAGGACATTTGCCATACTATTTTGATTTTCGAAGTTTTCTAATTTGACCCATTGATCAAAGAGCAGTTTCACTCAGTAAAAATACTATTGTTCTTGATGGTTGTTAGGAAACTACGGAAGCACTCCTATTATACTAACACTAGACCTTTCTTGTGCCTTCAGTGTGTCAGGAAACAGTGTGGGAGGTCTTCAAGACGTTCTGGGACAGACTGCCAGAGCGTGAAGAATATAATGCCTGGATGAGCCTGTGTGAGGAAGGAATAATGAGTATCTTTGAAATGGGCACAAACTTCAGTCAGTCTGAGGAGCACCGGAGTCTGATTGTGAAGGTGGGTACAGCACCTGCTTGGTGTTTTCTCGTGGGTGAGAACATGATGTCCCACTGCAATGTGGAACTTGGCATATCACAGGCAGTAATGTGGAGAGCCCTTAAAATGAACAGGCATGAGTATTCCAGCTCTTGGATCCATAGTTCTGAGATCGGTTCCAAAAGTTATGGCTGATCTAATGGAGAGGGAAGCAACAGCGATGAAGAGAATGTTGTTTTCCATAAGTGTGTTCCTGACAAGTAGATGGTGTCTGACACCTTATCTGAAAAGGCAGCATGACATGAGTCGGGCTGTGGCATGTTTCCCCCTGTGGCATGTAGCTGCCTTCCTGCTCTGAGCTGCACACGGAGATGCCTTCAGTCCAACTGGCACTTTGAAGCAGGAAGCTCTGAGCTGTATTTCTGATGCTACCAAGACATATGGCAAAATTGCCTGTTTGATGTTCTATAGGTTTGTGTTGTCTGCACACTGCTGCCTGACTGAAATGAGAGTACCTAAAAACATAAAAAGCTTTGGTGTCCTATGAAGGCAATTGATAACATTGTCACCATGGGGAGTTGCAGAGGTTAAAATCAGAGTACGAGTGTAAGACAAGGTAATAAAAAAATGCTGAATATCTTGGTATATTGTCTGTTATTTCAGTTTGAGCAAGCTTATTTTACCTTAAAGATAACAAAGGGGGCATTAAGCCAAACTAAAGAACCCTATCTCAAATGAAGTACCAAGATGTATTTTCAGGAGTTTGTGAATTTTAAAATTAAGTGCTTTGTATTCATCTAAGATACAGTAGATAGCTTAATTTCTCTGGATAAAAGGCTGTCTTAAAATGTATGGTGGCTTGTGGACTTCCTTAAGATTAGAGTGTCTTCTACTTTTGAAAGCTAATGGATGAGTAGTTTTATGAAACTTATGATAAGCCTTAAATGTGTGATCCTATAGGATCAGTGATTTTCAGCCAGTGTGGACGCACTGACTTTTTTCCCTTCTGTTCTTTTATGGACCTGTATGCTAGGAATGTGCACTAAAGAATGTGAATATGAAACTGTTGTGGATAATGAAAAGAAGGTGTTTTGTTTGTTTGTTTGTTTTCTCCTGAGCCTGCATGTTAGTCTTCACAGGTGATGCCAGCCAGTTTGCTTCTGTGATGTGTGATGATGCTGTTATCCTTAGAAGACTTTGCAAAAAGATTGAGAGAAATAAAATTCATTCGATTTGATTTTTTTATGTGTAGAGTGCATGTATCATTGTTTTATGTGAGATTTTGGCAGTGAGATGATCTATAGTGGCAGCATATTAAAAGAAATCAAAATGACTCTTGCAAAGAGGATGATGCATCTAGCTTCCCACTGCTGCTCTACCTTTTTGGGTATGGCTCTGCAGCATTACAGTGGAGTCAGATAAAGTGTTCTGTGTTTGATCTGGTTTGTGTGTAATTTAGGTTTCATTTTTCCTGTAGATGGATATATTCCTTTCAGCATTGCAATATTCTGGAAAAAGACTGTTCATCCTTCTATTTGCTTTAAGCACAGTTGGCAAAAGGTGACAATTGTTGGGCTGATTTGATGGCAGACTAGTCAGTGATAAGACGGACTGAATGCTGTCACCACTGTGCTCCACATAAAATGTCACAAATCTGTCAGGTGATTTTTTTTGTTGAAATAAAATCCTGAACTCAATTTAACTTTGAACCAAAGACTGAAGGCAATAGCACTCTCTTACATCCTCCAATCAGCCACCTTCAAAAGATCCAATGGTGTATTTTTGAATACATAGGTCAGAGTGTGAGTTTAATTGTTAGCTCTAGTACTGACTCACCATTCTCATCTGTGCTCATGCACAAAATTTTTGTCAGTGTGAAACCTTTTGAAGTTCGAACAGATCCAGTGAATACATCTCTGCTTTTAAGAACATCCTTCTTCCTACCCTCTTGTTCTTTCCACTCTCACCAGCTAAGTTGACCAAGTTGTGTGGTCAAACCTTTCCACTGTTTGAGGTTTTGTTTCCCTCTCATTACAGCATGTTCCTTCATTTGTTCATGGTCAGCTGTTGCCATTTGTTTTTCCATTTCTTAAACTTGATCTTTAAAGTGCTGAGCACTTCTCATCCAAGGGCTGCCATCATGTCACAGTGCACAGTACTCTGTAGTGTGCAAGTGTGATACATGTGAAGAGTAGTTTTTTTGTTTGGCCATTACATGCCTCATTAAATACCACTTCTCTCTAATCTTCCTCTGCTCTTTAGTGTCTGTAAATCAGCTGTGGTTAATTCCAAGAGTTTAGTTCAGAGCATGCAGCTGATAAAGGTAATTCTGCTTTTCTTTTGGCTGTTAGTGCCATACCATTGCTCTACTGCCTCTTTTATATTGGGCATGTTGGCAGTTTCTGACAGTCTTGTTTCAGAGTGTCTTTTTGCATTACTTTTTGGTAGATAGCAACATGAAATTTAATTTTTAGATGTCCTGCATGCTGTGAATTTTCCATTTCTCTCTCTTGAAAGAGGTTCAGCATATCTAAAAATTAGGAAAAATAAATCTGTGGGGTTTCCAAGCTGAATCTTCGTCCAAATCCATAGTAAAATGCAGCTTAAAGCATGATATTGGAGTGCTTCCAGGGTAAAGTTCTGTCTGCCTCCCGCATTTCCAATGTGGGCATGTATTAGGGCAAATCCATCCTTTATGGCAGATTACATGTCACAATTTCTACTTCTCCAGACTTCAATCAAATTTCAGAAAATAAAGTTTTACTGAGTTGCTGTTCCTTATGGATCTGATGACAATCTACAATGACAAGACATTGAGAAAAGGTGTCATGAGAAATGAAGAATTAAGGGAGCTCCCATAACTTAATCTGTTGAGCAAATACTCAACTATACCTGCTAAGGGCTCATATACAGCCCCAGGTGTATAACAAAGCATATGTGACAGTGTTGGGCATATGAAATGGGACAACATGGATTAGGTTATGAATTCTTTTCAAAGGAAGCAGGTCTGTGTGATTTTTGGTTTCTGGTGAGAGAGAGAGGTTTGTGCTGTGTGCACTTTTTAGTGGGTCTGAGAGCCACAAGTTAAACTCAAAGTTAGCCCTGGAAAGGAGTTGTAGCACAGCTTTGTTTGAGAACCAAAATGCAGTTTGCCCAGGAATCTCCAAAACTGTGATGAGAGGTGCTAACCTACCAAAAAGCAGCTTGAAAAGCTCCTGGGACAAGATACAAACCCCACGATGGTGTTGACTCATCAGTACTTTTATTTAGTATTGACTTTCCAGCCCATCAGCAGCTCCATCTGTTTCAGAGTATTTGCAGCACAGACTAACTGCTCAGTGACAGATTAGGGTAAAAAGGGCAGAAGACTTAGGATGCCTGAATGGGCAGCATAACAAAACACCTCCTTAGCATGCTGAAATGGGCACTTAGCAGTGTAAAATAAGTGATTTTGCCTGAGTTCTGAGAGCTGTGTTCAAAGATGGGATGCAGCATCCCAGCGATGTAATTTGTAACCACTTACTCCTAGTGCTGTAGTTTGAATACCTCACAGAAGTAGATGATTTTGTCTTCCCAAGATTCCTGCAGCAGAAACACTCCTTCTGCAGTCTCTCGTCTTCCTGCTCTGTGAACTAACCATTGTCCTTTTCTGTTTAATCACAGAATATTCTGAGTTGGAAGAGACCCACAAGGATCATCAAATCCAACTCCTAAATGAATGGCCCATACAAGGTCAAACCCACAATCCTGGTGTTATTAGCACCATGCTCTAACCAAATGAGCCAGTCTCAGAGTCAATCAAATGTCCCAACCACAGTTTCCAGTCCTTTACATTTTTTATTTTGCATAGAACACCTCCAGATTCTTCTAGACCTGGAAAAAAAGCAGACCCTGTCTGCTCTTTCACACTCCCCATGCCCCCTTATGGATGCAAAAAAGAAAATCCCTTGCCCTCCTTCGAGCCATAATGTCAGATTTCCTTCACCTTTGCTCTTGTCCCTACACTTACTGTTCTCCTATTGACTTACACTCTTTTAATTGCAAGGTTTATCCTTCTCTAACTTAAAAAGAAAACCCCACACCCTTTGCCACAAATATGCAAATAGAATAATTACCTTTAGTTGCTTCTTCAAATATTGCCTCATCTCTCTTCCATCTCTTAGGCAATTTCTCTGGTCATTCTGCTCCAATTCCAGCCTAAATCTTCCTTTTTGATCTCTCCTTTGCACCTGACAGAGCACAAAAACTGTCAGCCATGAAGTCTGTGTTCATCTCTTTCCAGGCAGAGCTTAGAACCGATGCTTCATCCTCATCAACCCTGTCCAATTAGATCCTTTACTTTGCAAGTCTCTAGTTTTTCTTTATTTTCTGTGTTTTGCTCTTTGTTTCTAGATAGCACTGCCTAACACACTGAAGAATCACTTCTGTATTGAAAGTTCACCTCTGCTGTGAAGCTGTCTGTTCCACTAAGCTGTCCATGTTATCTCTCTTATTGTAGGCCGTATTTTTACCTTACCTGTCAGGGATGTGCCTCAGAGCGCTGCTCCCCATCCTTTCTTTCCCTACAATTTCAGTTGTGGACATTGTGATCCCTTTCCTTGAATTATCCCCAGTGCTGTGGCCTTGTCTTCATGAGAGCATGGTTCTGCCATGCACCATGGTGGGACAGGCAGAGAGAGAGTCATTTCTTGGTATGACTTTCCTGTTGTAAATTAAGTGTATATGTGGTGTTAAATCAAATATGCTTGGTACAATACTACACAGATAGGATTAAACTAATATGAGATTATTTCAGATCTCCTTGACATTTCCTCCACCTTTTTCTCCTTCGTGGCATTACTTCCAAGATATTTTGTCTTCTATGCATAACAACTGTCTCTTAGAATCAGGCAAGAGTATCCTATATAATTGCTTTTCTGCAAGTTCATAAACTGACAAAAGCTCATTTGACAAAAGCTGATTTGTGGTATTGTGGTAGCTTGTATTCAATGTTCTGGACTTGTATTAATTTGTGAAAATTTTGCATTATATAAAACTAACTGTTCAGAAAGGGGAATGTTAGTGCAAATGACACAAAACTCAGCTCCCAGCTTTAGAAGAATTGGTATAATAATGATGTTAGGAAGAGAACTAATTTTGTACAAAGCATCTGCCAGAGGTAGCTTCACTTAGTAAAAGCTCCCCTTGAGTTTTGGTGTGGCTGCTGCTGTTGTGTAGAGCTATTTATAGATCATTTCCAGTATTCAAAGACATTAACTAATCTTTGCAGGTCCTTGTGCAGGAGGTGTGTTTCTAACTCCAGCTTCTTAATGACGGAACTGAGTCAGAGAGTTGAGGTGTTTTGGCAAAGGCTATTCTGTAATAAATGAGAAACAAAGCCAATATTAGAACTCTAGAGCCTGTGTCTTCTAATTAGGGGAAAAAGGTGCCTGTTCACAATGAAGTTGGAAGTATGTCAGTGCTTGCCCACACCCCAGGCTGGAATGCAAATTAGACCTTTAATAGAGGAAGACAGTCACACTACAAACTATTACAGACTGTGCTAGTTTAGCCATAGGGAATGCTTTGTTTTTACATCCTAGGTTGAAAAAAACCCTACATTTAACAATATAAAAAACTAGGCTTATATTTCAGTCTGTAGGACTGATCCAAAATGTGTGAATCTGTTTTTCAGTCCTCTGTAGACTGTAAGAAGCTGAAGACTGGGTATTCAGATCAAACTTTTCTTTTGAATTTGCTGTAAATGCTAAGATTTTACCCCTGGCATAAAACTGCAAGGTGGTAATTGTCTGTGTGCAAGATTTGTATTGGCATATGGGTTTTGATGGGTGATGGGTGATGGTCATACTTTTATCAACTCATTTGTAATTCAAAGTTTATGCCTTTTTTTTTAAAAAAGCTTTACAGCATTATATAGCAAACAAATATGAAGTGACAGTTTTTACCATTATTTTGCAAAGCTGCTGTTGAATCTAGTGGGATATTTCATCTGAGAAAGCATGGTGAAAAGTCCAGTCATTTAAATGGCCATTTAAAGAATGTAATCCTTTAAAGGTAATTTATTTCATGAAATGTGATCAGTAGTGAAGAGAGAATATTCTGTCCTGAACTAGGTGAATTAAGGAAAGTCCAGCTACCCTATGCAGAGGCTATCATTCACAGGCAATCATAGAGTCTTAGGCTGTGCTAGTTTACTGCAAAATTGGATGAGAACTTAGTAATTTGATGCCCTTTTAAAAGCATAAATGTGGAGACAGTGTGTAATGTTTGTTTTTCTAGTCCTTGGCTGTTAAAATAATAATTTGACATTTCAGATTTGGTTCTTAGAAGTTCATCTTATAATTTATGGAATAGATAACTTGGAAATAACAAGAAATGTTGGTTAAGTCCAGGGACCCAGGCTCAGGAAATCTGGGAGCCCCCAGCTCCTCAGGCTACCCTGCAACAGACTTTTCATCCAGGCATCCCTCACTGGGGCACCTTGCTCTAAGAGGTGTTTAGGATTACACTGACCTCTGCTGTCAGTGACCTTTGAGGACTCGTGAGTAAAGCTGCTGGGTACAGACTAGCAGGTGGTATTGAAAAGATATGTGAGGCCTGTAATAACCAGAATTGTTTTTAATAGCACCTACAAACCGTCTTGACTGCCTGAGAATGGAATAAAGTCTCCTTTTCTAACAAACAAACACTTTTTACTGTATGAGCTACTACTTATAGATAACTTTTCAAAATCTTGTAGAGAGGGAATCAGTCTCTCTGTTCCTTGTAGATCCCAGTGCACTAAGGCTGAGTACAAGCACTATATAGAGCAGTGTAGTGACCCCTTATAAAACCATCCAAGGTCCAGTATAGCTTTAGTGGCCCCAAGTTAGAGTTTTCACTGTAGACTACCTAGTTTCTGTGTTTGTCACTTAAAACTAGTCTCACTGGGTCTTACTTTTTCATACTAAAGTATCTCCAGATGCTTCATTTAATGGACCTGTATAATAAATGTTGGTCAAAGAACATGCTAAAAAGCAAACTGACTGAACTTTGTATTTTGGCAAGCCGTCCTCAGGCTGATATCCAAGCTGCCTGCCATTCTAGCTGTGATCACACTTAATGTCCACGGATGTCCTGGAAAGAAGAGAAGCGTAGTCATTGACATGGCTCCAAATCAATAATGACTGAATTTCGACACTTCCCTAGAAAAACAGGTGAAGAGATAATGAGCAGGTTAACCTGCTCAAGAAGTCTCTTTTGTCTTTTCACTCCTCCTTCACAAGAAGAATGATGAGGTTACCTTGGAGTGACAATCCTTAGGTACTGAATACATATGAGTGTTTTGCAGAGAAGTTTTCAAAGTGGAAATAGTATGTGTTGAGTTTATTGTATTTTAATTTCAAAGGAGATACTTGAGTTGATCCACTTTGTGTTGTTTTTACTGAAAAATATATCTGCATTGATCATATAAAAAAAGCCAACCCAATAAACACTCTGCCAAACAATCCCTTCCCACCACTAAAACAGAGAAGCAGAAATTTTTTAGCTGGACAATAATTTTCTATAAGTATTTTGTATTCTGTTCACATTGGTACAGCAGCAGGATACAGCATTATTTCTCAACAGCTATCATGCTGCAAACTGCTGAGGACCTACTCCTCTTCTTGTGGCATTCCTCCCAGAATCTCCTGTGTGTCTTATGTAGAACCAATGGCACTAATGCCACAAGAATTTTGATGGAAAAAATATGAATTGCATAGCTCTGCTTAGTCTTTATACACCAGTACAGGAAAAAATGTCATCCCTATCACTTGTATAACCTTAAACAAAGTCATCAGATTAATCCTCGTATGTTACTTTAAGATGTAACTGTACTTTCAAAAGATGGTTTTATATCTATAGACAAGTAGCAGAAGTAATATTGTATTTCTGAAGACTACTTGCTTAAAAGCATCTTGTTGCTGGCCTCCTCTGGGTTGAGAGAATGTTGTACCTGTAGGACAATGCAGGACAATGTAGAAATGCAGAGCATCTCTGACAAACCTAGTACTCTTTACAGTGTCTAATGTTGAATTTCAGTTGTATTTTGGAAATGTAGGACATATTTTCTTTTCAGTGGGGACTTTGTTAATAAATTTTGAACTTAACAAATGAAAACACAGAGAATAGAATTATTTTGGCACAGAGAAGGAAATAAACTGCATTTCAATTCCTTTCACTTTATGTTACTCAAATATACTTAGGACTTGTTTGTTTGTTTGTTTTCCAGAAACTGTCCTATATAAAGGAAGCAATGGGCAGGTGAGTGTCTGTGTTCTCCTTGCATTTTATTCTCTCTGGAGATAACAACTGGGGTTGTGACATTTTGTAACCTTTTCTCTTTTCATTGTCAGCTCCTGCACTGATTGGGCATGTGGGTAAGTAATTTTCCCTTTCTAAAGGCTCCTAATAGGTCGTTTCTCTGGTTTTTGCTGCTGCTGGAGTTGATTTGTGCACTGAAGATGAACAAAATTCACCTTTGTGCAAAAGGGCATATAGAAAAGTACAGCAGAGAAATCTGATAGTTCTTGCATGTGAACCTCTGTCCTGGCGTGCTTGGCATGCTCAAAATATCTCAGCCAATCTGGGGCTTGTACGTCTGCTTAAGTATGTCATCACCTTGTTGACCATCAGGCTGTCAGGTGCAGATGCAGGCTATTTACCTGAAGAGGTTTAGTGGGGGAGATCTATTTCGGGAAAAAGATGTGTCCACAGTTACTTATGTTAGTGTCCTGGTTATCCTGCAAACCTTTCCCAAAGGCTTTCAGGTAGTTCTAGTCATTGTTACAGGAAAAAAAATAAATTTTGAAACGCTCTTTTAAAAACAGCTTCTGAGAGATGTGTTGTGAAAACAGTTACAAGAGAATTGGCTGCTTGGACTCCTCATGCTTTTAACAAGGCAATAAACCTGAAAACTGGTCTGATTTGTGGCTTCTTTGTACCAAAGTGAACCTGAACTTGACATGTTATTTTCATGTCTTTTTGAACTGAACAGAAAACCAGTTCAAATTATTATTGCTTCTTTCCTACTCAGAACGTAATCTAAGCTGTTATTTTCAGGGCAATTCAAACCCAAACAACCTGGTGCTGAACGCATCTGAAAAACTGGCATGTTCAATTCCTTGCTTTACAGGCTACATAAAGCTATGATAAGTATGAGTAATTAATTTACTGGGAAGAGTAATAACAGAATTCTAAAAAAACCCTCAACTTCCCAATCAGGTATCCTCATAATTATTTCATAACAACACTATATATTAAAATTAATAACATGAGACGATAAGGGCAAATGTGATTCCTAAAAGATTGGTTTCTCTCTGTTCTGTGGAGCTGAATGCTCCTTTGACAAGAGCACTCCCCAAAGCCTCCAGGTCAGCTGGGTAGCATACATGTCTTCTGAAGAAGTTTGAGTTTGAAAGCCTACTGCATTCATCCGTATGATCATTCACAAAATCAAGTAAATGTAGAGATATGCAAGAAGAATTGGAGTCACTGCCTGCACTGGGCTAAATCACAGAACAGTGCAAAAAGCCCAGCATTTTCAAGGTGGATCAGAGTGATTAATGTACAAAAGCCATCTTACCAAGTGTTTTGTGGCAGGCATTAAAGGGGCTCCAGTAGAAAATTGGCAAACTTTTCCAACTCAATTCACTGTGGGGCTGTATTGCATCTTTCTCAGAAATACACTGCTTTTATCCCAGTATATGTTGCTTCAGACTGTTTATAGCTTTAGGATGGGATCTTTATAATCACCATCAGTTTAAAGTTTGGGTTTAATATATCTTTTCCTCTAGAAGTTGTTTGTGTTGTGCTTGGAAACTGTAGTGGTTTGCAGCATAAAGAGCATGATACAGGATTGAAGCAGTGAGAGAAACAGGTAGATTTGCTCTGGGTGATGGAGCATCAGAAAGAAATTAATATAAATTATTTTGGCAATATTAAAGAATCCAAACTTATTCTCAAAACATTCTGGACATCTTAGAGCATTTGTGGTTTATGATGTGAAGTTTGTAAGCCAGAGGTGTATAAAAAAACAAAGCCATGGTTGCCATGGGTAGATGTCTCATCTAACTTAAGATGTCTTTAATCAAGAGCAGTAAGTGAGCCACCTCAGTGCTGCCAACAGCCCATGTTATTATTTCCTGCAAAATTAACCTCTAACTACACATCAGAATAAAATGAAGACCTTTTAAAAATGTTCTGTAAGAACCCAACCCAGAATCACCACCAGCCTCTAAGGCAGTGTGGGAAATCCAGTGTCAAGTCCCTCCTGCACAGGAGGAGAGGTGAGTACAGTTCTGCCATTTCCTGGGCATTGCTGTCCTTGCCTGCTGGCACACATGTGCACAGAGAGGCTGGTCCAGTGCAGGGCACTGCTGGGGTTTGAATGTGGCTGATTTGCCACTCATCTGTGTCATCTGTGTCAAAATAGGCAACTGTTCTGGTCTCGTCTCAAGGGACGGCAGGACTATCCTAAATATCTAGATATCCAGGGTATGATAAATATCTAGATATCCAGATGAGATGTTCAGGTGAGGTACCCCCATTACCAGGGAGGGACAGGCTACTCCAGATGATGCTTTGAAGTGGGGGTCTAGCAGGAGTCTTTGCTTTGTCCTCTGGTGAGTTCCAATGTCTCTGGTAACTGTGCAGAAGCAGTCACTTCACTTTGGAAGCCTGGCACTAGGCAGATTTCTCAGTCTGTTTTCTCACTGATAAGAGCAGGAAATTTTGCAGTAGAGGTTCATGTTCTGGAGCATAGCCCCCACAAAGAAACTAAAAGAGTACTATCTTTTTATGAGGTTTGCCCAATCTACTTTTTCCTGTGAAACTTTTTTTTCTTTGAAACAGTTTTGTAATTTAGGGCTGACCTGGAATGGAAGACAGGCCCTTGATATCTGTTGATCATTTTAACTATACTACTAGATCAAATCAAAACCACGCTGAAAGCTATGAACAGCTATAGAATTGCAGCTATGACTTAAATAATTTAATACAACTCATATAATCCTACCTAGATGTCAACATTGTGTCTCTCTCTAGCTGGAAAAAGCTGATTTCAGCTAGTTCAGTGCTAGGATAGTTTTAGTGTAGCCTACAGAAAGGTGTTTTGTACTATTGTAATTTAGTTCCCAGAATAACTCTCAATCCGGCATTACTGACAATTACGTAACAGCAGGATGAAAGTTTGTTCCCGTAAGGTTAGTGCACTTGTTCACACGGGTTAAATGCTCAGGTACCCTGGCCTTTTAAGGAACTGAAGGATTAAACTGAGTACCACTGAGGACAAAAACCTCAAAAGGAAAAGTAATATAATATGACACAATCCAGATGTGTACACAGCAACCCAGTGGACATGTGAAGGTTTTGTCCCAGATGGAAGTGTGGAAGCACTACATCAGACTTTTACTGATTGCTTTATTCAGTAGGCCATTGGAACTTTGCATGATGAAATTCTGTCTCTTAATATTGGAGTGTGTGTCATGACAACAGGACAGTCCTTTTGTCTAAGGCAGACCTTGAGAATCAACCAATGGCAAAGGAGTAGCACAGAATTGTTGTGGTAGAAAACTAGAGCTTTTATGCCAGAGCCTCACTTGATTTCTGTAAGCACAATAACATACTGAGGAAAAGATCAAGAGTATAATAGGATAGTTGAAAAGGATTAAGATAATGCACTACTTTTTCACTTCTTCAGAAGCAGCTCTTAATGTCAGATTAAATAAATAGAGGCATACGTCCTTTCTGATGGTACTTGTTGATTCTGAACTCACTGAAATTAGTCTTAGTAAATAATTTCAAGACTTCCTTTGTTCTGTTCATGTCCTCTGCCTTGAAATAAATTGGCAAATTTAGGATCCCTATTTCATCAGTGGTGGCAGCAAAGGTGGTTGATGTATCAACTCAGATTTTCTACTGTTTATCTAAATGTGCTTTATGAAAGAAAAAGAGTTTGTCTTCTGTGCTGGGATCATTTCATCAGTTCAGCAGTTCTGCCTGCAGTGAAGTAGAAATGTACCTGAGCTTCTTTACTGTTTGCATGTGGACTTGGCAATTATATTGCTCGTTTCAGAAATTTTTTCTTATCTGCACGGCTTTACCACTTGTGAAGAGTTCCACACTGCTTCTTTTCAGTTGTGTATTTTCTTTTGTGCTCCCTACTGTCTGTTAGCAAATATGAAAGGTCTGACCTGCTTTAATTAAAACAAAAATAGATCAAAATTCAAGAACCACCTAAATGAAAACTAAGACAAATGCATGTACAATTTGAAAGGAGAAGAATCTGAATACAAGGCTCAGTCTTGCATTCTGAACTTGAATACTTTTTAAATTGCATAGTTAGTTCAAGGCTGTGTAATTAAAATATTTAAAAATGAGAAAATCAGACAATAAAATGGTTTTCCTTTCTTTGTGCAATATGAACATTGAAGTAATATTGTTCAAGAAAAATAAATACTTGACATAGCAAATTAGACTTTAAAACATTCAAATTGATAAACAATGTTATAAATAATTGAAAAACTGATGGATGTCCAGAACAGGTACTACAAATTTGAAGGTGTTCAACCACAAAGTTAAACCTTGAAGAGAAATGTAGAGAAAAATCTAATACCTTTTATAGAATTTCATGGGGACCTGTGAAATGGTATCACTGGTGCCCCATTTGACAGGTTCAGAGTGTTGTTTCTCCTCAGTAACGCAGTATGGCTGCACATAAAGAACCTGTTTAGGCTCTATGGTTGTCTTTGAGTCAATGGAACTCTGTACATGCTTTGGTGGACTGGAACCTATCAAGTCTTCTCCTGACATGACTGATGTCACACAGAAGTGCGTACCATGGGGTTTGAAAAAAGGGGAGTGTAGGCAGTGTTTGTGAACTGTGTTTGCTGTATTGATATGTATAGGCTGTCCATAAGCACTGTTTGCTTCAGATCAACTTCCGAGGCTCTTATGGATCTTATCTTACACCTGCCTAGAACCTGCTGTCTAACAGAGCTGTGTGATCTGAAAGCGGTTGTTTCCCTCAAGGAAACACAAGTGCAGTGTTGTTCGTTCTGGTGCTTAGACAGTCTGCTTGTGTGTATTCCTTCCTGCATCTCCATACATATGTGTATATTTTTATATTTTGCTTACTGCTCAGCCAAGATGATCCAGGGCATGACTCATGCAGGTAGGACAATAGAAATTACATTTCATATGTCTGTGTCTCAAATTCAAAATAAACTCTTGCTAGAATACAGTCCCTCCACCTGGAATGGCTTGCTTGTGTAGGTAGAATTAAAAATAAAGTTTGGACCCTGGATTAATCCTGGGGCAAACAAAAAAAAAATCGCTTGTATTTTAAGTGATGTAACTGAAGGGGAATTTGAATCTATGTTTAGCTTGAAAAGTGGTGTGTTCAAACAAATCAGCGTATGCTTTGCCATGTGCATTTTGAGTGATTTCCTTAGAGATGCCTAGTACTATTGCTGCTTTTTTAGGAGATCAATAAAGTGGGCATTTGAAAAATTAATATGTTAACGGAAGTAGAAGTCTAAAAGAAATGCATGCAAAAAGAAAGCAAACCTCACCATTCTGGTAAAGCCATAAAAAAACCCAACACTGTGCATAAAGTGAGGTTGATTATAGCACAGTTTCATAAAGCAATATTTTATCTTCCTGAGAAAATGTAATAGCTGCTAATTTGACCAAATTTGATACTTGATTGGTCTTGTTTGATTAGATTGATTACAGTTTTACTAGGTGGTGTTTAAGCCCTTGGCTTTTAATTTCCAGCCAACCGTGCAAGTATTTTGTCAGAAAATTGGGTAGCTCTTGAGGGCTTGTATTTGAAAGCCCCTCTGTGCCAGTAAGCATGTATTACCTGGCCTTGACAAAGAATGTGATCTTTTGCTGCTTAAGGACATGGGTTTGCTATGCAGCCTTAACTCTCACCTTGACAGTGGCCTTAGTCTCACCTTGATTTTCAGCACTGTTGTGGTTGCCCTATGGCCTGACTTGGTCTGTGGTTGTCACCACATGGCTAACCTGGTGCTTAAGGTGACATTTAGTGTTGGAGAGCTGCCATTTGTTGGAGTCTGTGACAGAGAGAGTCCTCTGGGATCTTTGAAACTTGGAGGACTTTATTTTTATACCAGTCTATAACTAGTAATCTGCTCTAGAAGTAGTACTCTAGAAAGCTAATTTTAGACTTTTCCATTTGCCAACTCCTCCTCCTTTGGAAGTGTGATTTATACCGTAGCATCAGGCAAAGCATCACCAGCCAGTCGAGAGAGGTAATTGTCCCACTCTGCTCTGACCTGGTGCTGCCTCACCTTGAATATTGTGGCAGTTTTGGGCACTGCAATATAAGAAAGATATTAAGCCATTAGAGAGTGTCCAAAGGAGGGCAATGAAAATGGTGAAGGGCCTTGAGGGGAAGCCGTGTGAGGAGCAGCTGAGGTCACTTGGTCTGTTCAGCCTGGAAAAGAGGAGACTGAGGGGAGACCTCATTGCAGTCAACATCCTTACAAGGGGAAGTGGAGAAGCAAGCACCGATCTCTTCTCTGTGGTGACCAATGATAGGACCCATGGGAATGGCTTGAGGCTGTGCCAGGAGGTTTAGGTTAGGTATTAGAAAAAAGTTTTTCGCTCAGAAGGTAGCTGGGCACTGGAAGAGGCTCCCCAGGCAAGTGATCACAGCACCAAGACTGACAGAGTTCAAGAAGCATTTGGACAATGCTCTGAGGCACATGGTGTGATTCTTGGGGATGGCCCTGTGCATGGCTAAGAGCTGGACTTGATCCTTGTGGGTCCCTTCCAACTCAGCATATTTTGTGATTCTGTCTGTTTTTTCTTGTCTACTTTGAGGAGTTTTCCTCTAAAAACTCGAGTAACTTAGTTTAAACTTACCTTGCGGGTACATTGGCAAACACAACTGTACTGGGTGCAGATGCCCAGGTGCTGCCAGCAGGGGCTCCCTGTGAGGAGGGACTGGGGCTGCCCCACATTGGTTCCAGCCAGCTTTGACGGACCCACCCCAGGGCACAGCTGGGCCCTACACTCATGGCAGTGGTGCCTCAGGGAAAGCCTGTGTGAGAAAGGGCAAGAGCATGGCACAAGGAGAGGAGTAGGGAACAAAAAGAATGACAAACTGTGGCATAGGGAATACCAAGGTCAAAAGCACCCTACCATGGCAAAGCAAGTATTCCCTGAAGCCAAGGGAGGGCTTAGACTGGAACAGGCAGAGCATGTGGTGGCTGGGTAGAGGAGTTAGAAGTGACGTTGAGCCTGGGTGGAGGATAAGTGGTGTTCTAATGTCTGGCAGTTTCTCACTATCCCAACATACTTATATATGCAATAAATCAGTTTTCCCCAACCTGAGTCTAATTTGCCTATGGAGGTAATTGGTAAGCAACCTTCCTGTCTTTATCTTGACCCAGAAACTTTTCACCTTATTTTCTCACCTGTCTTGTAGAGAGGCTGGGTGGGTGTTTGGCCCTTAACCAAGGCCAACCCACCAGAGAACTAGGTGCTCAGTTGGTCAGATGGTCATTTTGGTCCATTTTAGATGCCCTGAGTGCAGAAGGCTGCCAGGGATGATGTGGGAACTGTGAGTGACCCGTGCCTTGTGGGGCAGTAGCTGGAGGTCAGGAGTGCCTGAAGGCTCCTCAAAATATACTGGGCACCAACTCATGGGCAACTGGATCGAGTCCTGTGAGTCTCAGGTTAAGATCAGAGCTTACCACAATAAATCATGTTTCTCACTGCCCCCTTCTAAAGAAAAGGGGGCTGATACAAGACTCAGGTAAGTTTTGTATATAGGTTTGAACTGAATAGAACATTGCAAATCCCGTAGCAGAGTTTTTGCTGCACATCGCTTTGCTTTTGTTGAGTTTTTATTCTGACCCTAGTTACACTAATCAGTCTGTAAGAAACAAAATATTAGACTCACCTCTGCTGAAAAGTAGAATCATACTTGCTTCTGAACATTAAACATGCATAAAATGCTTTTTTTACTGATGCTGTAATTTGGTGAGACTGTAATCTAATTCCTATTGAAATTGGTAAAAGGAATGCATCCTGGAGTTGGGTGAACCTAATTGGAAAATATTTCATTAGACTGATCTATTGCAGTTCTAAGATGATTAACAAATAAGGAAAATAAATCAGTCTAAAATATAACAAGCATTCTTAAAAAAATATCCTTAAGAGAGATGATCTTGTCTGTTATACTTGCTAGTAAAATTTTCCAACCTTGGAAATGATTCCAAGATTTGCTGAGGTTGTCAAAGAATTGGTAGAGAGTTATCTTGTGCTGTGCTGGCTGAAAACAGGTACCAGTGTCCACGAGATGGAAGCAGATACAAATAACTACATTTCAAAGCTTGCATATTGCTCAACTACTTTAGTTGTTTAAAAAAACGCATGAAGGTACTGTATAAACTCTCAAATAAGCATTTTCTGTTTTGTCTGGAGATTGTTTTATTTTTTGCTAATGTAATTGTTGTGGAGATCTCACCCTGTCAGTTTAACATTCCCTGAGCTATATTTTGATATAGTTAATCATTTCGTGCAGGACTAACCTGTGCCTCCTGGGAAAGGATGGGTGAAAAGATTCTTGACTTAAATAGAAAATTCATCAAGTTTGAATTCAGCTCTGTTTATTGGCAAGTCTTATGTGTCCGTGAGAGGTAGGGGGAGAGACTGTTTCAGACATTTAACTTAGTGCAACTATCATGTCTTTGATCATATGCTGGTGCCCTGGTATCTGTAGTGTGTGACTTTGGATCTGGTTGTCTGGCTGGTGCTGGAAGCCTTTGTTTTTTTTTAAGCGATAAAGAGACTGATTATACATCTTAAAGGAGGCAAAAATATCCATCAAGTCTGAGTGGAGTTTTCCTTGAGGACAGACAGCAAGACCAGTAATATAATATGTGAATCAAAAATCAAATCTGGCAAGGCTTGGAACCATGGCCAATGTTGCATATATTAGAGTGAAGACTTGCTGCAATACTTATTTTATGGCACAGGTATGACCACCAATAAAAAAGAAGTTCCTTTAGAAGTGAGAGAAATATCTCAATACAATGAACTTCAATAATTTTCTGAAGTTCAGTTTCTCTCCAGCACTTAAACTTCTAATTTTACAACTTGGGTTTTATATATTAACAGTATGACAAACCTGAAAAATAAGTTTTCCTTCATTCAGGAACGACTTGTTTCTGTCAGAGCATGTTTCCTACTTTTGGTAACTTGACAGTTGCTCGGGGCTTGCAGAATTGGCTCCAAGGAGCCTGGGTTTACTGTAAGAGCCATGTCAAAGCTGTTAGTTTTTCTTCAGGCTGGCAGTCTTCATCTGATTTTTACCTGAAATGTTTTTCACATTTGGCCTTGAGTTGTTTTATGTGTGTGTGAATCCAATAATTGGATTTGGAAGCTGATGCCTTTTGAAAATTTCCAAATAAGCAGAATAAAATTAATGATAAAAATAACCCATCTTCTTGCAGTGATTTTGGTAGAGTTATGGTGTTTGTACTTTAAAAATTGAACATTTTATAGAGTAATACAGGTTATCTTTGTGTTTTATTTCTGGTCTTCACAGTTGCCTTCTTTACAGAACTGCTAGAAGGCAAAATGTATTATTGGATAGAACTACAAGTCAGTTGGAATATAAGGGGGTTACCAATCTGGAGAGGCACATGGTGTGTTGTGTGATGCAAGTGACCCAATATCAAAGTTGCAAAAGATAACTGAAATACTGCAAAACCTAATTTTTATGAAGTTATCAGCAAAGTAGTACCATGACAAATTTCTTCTGCACATACACTTTTTAGTGTGCCACCAGAATCGCAGAAATATAACAAACTAATGTCCAACATGTCCAACTTCAATTTCTGATTTTATTTTTATCTGTCAATAGTGGGACTCCAACTCCAGCTTCAGATGCTGATGTTTCCACACTGAGAGGTCAGTTTTCATCTAACTCCTGTTAAGGCTGATTCTGAATTCCTAGATAACTGAGAAATTTGATGGTGTTCGGACTTCAGAAAGAGCTGTGAATTTTTGCATCTCTATAATGCTGTTTGTAATCTGGAGATCATGTTATGTGCTGACATTATTTTGTTACTGTATGAATCATGAAAATCCTACTCGACAAATTAGTTCTGTGCCCTTTTTACTGCACTTAATTTCACATTTCCAAAAATACATCTGCTTAGGCAGAACATTAACATTTTATTCTGATTAGTCTATTTGGTACTTTTCCTCCGGCTCTTCAGGTGTTTCTTGTGCTGTTGCTGCCGTGATTATGGGAATAGAAATCAAATTTGACTGTTGGTTTATTCTTGCTGAACTACTTCTGGGTATCTACATGTACATGGGTATAAAACCTCCCCCAAACCAAACAAAATAATACTGTTCTCTTTCAAACTCAGATGCAGCTGCCAATGTTCCTCCCCCTGATGAGATCTCCATTGAGAGTCCTGCAGGTGGTACCATCGAGGAGGTAGATGTTGTAGACACCACTGTGAGTGATTTTTTTTCATGGGGTTCAGCATTCTGTTGCCTTTCCTAAATGATACTTTTCATGGTCATTTACATTTTTCTAGTATTTGAAGGTGTTAGCATGGTGTGTTAATACTAACTAAGATTTCATAAAACCAGGGCCTGGAATTTCTAAAGGTTTAACATAATTTCCTGGGGAGGTATTTTTCATTTGCAGAGACTATGCAATGCCACTTCCCTGGCAGTGGGAGAGGACAGATCAACTGAGCTATCAGATGAGGATTTAGCTTAGAGTACTAGGACTAAAGAGGGAATGCCTAGTGGTCCTGAAAGCTCCAAGAAGAATGTGGAACATTATTATTCTTGTGGAAACACAATATACCTTAGGTTGCTGTAGTAGTGGTACAATGTGTAGGATGCAGAGAAGTGGCCGGGACAGCCTTGAAGATTCTGATTCTCTGCTCCTTTTCCTCTGCTGATATAGATGAACTTTTATTTATCGTAAGTCACCCTTACTGTCATATTTAAACAAAGGTCAGAACACAGAGAATCCTATACCCAGTACTTAAATCATCTCTGTAGAAGTGAGCTGAAAACCACTTGGCAAATACCCAGGGAAGTATTTGCTTATAGGAAAGAACTCCTCTGAATTTAAACTTTAATCCCAACTCTAGAATTCAACTGCAGTATTTGTGGTCCTACATGACTGAAAAAAATTTTGCAAACCAGTGGTATGAATCAGCTGGCTTTTGTTTTCTTATAAAAATGAAACTCTCAATGGATTATGGAGAAGCTTACAAAGTTTCACATGCTGCATATAAGTAGAAGCTGATTTATGGTACTGGGTTTTGTTCCATAACAGTATGGCCATAAAACAAAGCTGAGCCAAACTGTACACTTCTAGAGCTTTCAGGGCTGACTGGAACTCTGATATTGGAATAAATACTGAATATGAAACAGGCAGACAGCTTCAGACTCAAGTCCAGGGTCTGGCTTTGTATTATGTACCAAGAATACTTGTGGTTTGGTCCCATGTACAGCGTCATTCTTTTTCGAAACAGAACTGCCTCTGCTACTTCTGCTGGAGCAGAGAATAGGACCACTCAGTAAATCAGAAAGAAACCAGAATTAGATTGCTGCTGCTGCAGTGTTTTCACTCTATACAGTTACATCACACCTCATCATCGCTCAGTGCAGCCAAAATGCATTGCAGATTACAAGACCAAGAGTGAGCAAAGCTCATATCCTGCACTTGTATGTTGACTGTACCAGGTTTTGGGGGACTGATAAATGATTTAAAGTATATGTTGTGCAGACAGCCATATGATAGCAGTATATATATGCCTGCTAAGTGTGTATCTCTCAAATGCTAACTAGCTTGAAGTACTGCACCAGTCATTATGGTCTTTAACAAAGTTATCCAGTGAAAAAGGGATGGAGTGGGGGAGGAAGAGAATTTAACTAAAAATTTTTAGAGGGTCCCTAAACAACGTATACATTATTCACTGGAAGCAGATAAACTTTCTGGAGAAAGGTTTTTCCATTTCCTGCACCATACATAACTTGGGCTGCAGTTTTGTTGAAAAGGTCTGTTTTGGTGGGTCTCTGTTTTCATTTTTAATGGGGAAAAAGCGACAACTGCATGTAAATAACCAAAGTCAAAGCAAAAGACATTTGTCTATTTGGCTAAAGTTAACTTAAGCCAGCCTTCCCTTCCTTGCCCCAGAAATCTGACTTTTTTTTTTTTTTTTTCTCTTCTCACATCTTTCAGTATACCACAAGGAATAGCTGGTTTTAAAATACTAGGGAACTAAGCAGAAAACGTTCTTTCTGTGTTGCTCAGTCATTCAAATCAGATTTAAACTTAGCATTGCCTGCTGCCTGTGTCAGCTATGATAAGCTTCATGCTTCCCTCATGCATTGTACAGCCACTGCCACCGGGCTCCTTGGGCAGCTGTAGACCCACCAGTTGAAGGGCACTGCTTTAGCTCAGCAGAGGTCCCAGTGCCCACTGTATATCGGCGGGATCCTTCACTTATTGAAGCTGAACAGCAGAGTGTTGTTCCAAATGTAGAACTCGACAAAGGTAACTTGTCTTCCAGGTGGAATAGTAAGTAGGAACCTTGTGATAAATGAGTACATTTTGGGTAAATCAACCTAGGCTGACTGGGCTCAAGTGAGCTGTTTGAGTATCCATGGCTGTACTTTAAATTGCCTCATAAACATTCCACACAACTGGATTTCTGTTTGTACCTGAGGTCAACTAGATAGACTTGCACTGCAGACATCCATATGGAAAACAGAATTATCTGCAATATGAGAATTCTCAAGAAATGTTCTTGCTTAGTAGATTGCCTAATTAGTTGCTGCCTCTGTCCCTGAGGCTTCACAAGCACTCCATTATAGTGCAAGGCAAACAAGTGTGCTGATGGCTCAAGTGAGCATGCTGAGCTTTGCACTGCAGTTTTCATGTGTCATTAAGTATACCCGTGACCAGCCCACCAGTAGTGCCCTGAGCTGTTCCTGTTCATACAGGGCTTAGGTTTTCTGCTCCACAATGAGCCAGAGAAACTTTCAGATTTGCAGCAGCTGGAGAAGTTTCTGTCCCGTGTAAGAAAGATATTTGGATCCAAACTTGGGAATGTAGTGTAGTATTGACAGATGGCAGACCAGTTGTACACATACACATTTAGGGATGCTTTTTACACGGAGTAAACCCACATTAGGTAGGAATCTGGTCTGTGGTGAGCAACAAGGATTTGTTTCTTAAAAAAAAAAAACAACAACCAAAAACAATGGGCAAAACAAACAAAAAAGAAAGCATTTAAATCAACTCTCGTTTTTTCCCTTCTTCCTTCCCTTCCAGATCAATAATGAGATAAAGACGCAGGATGAGAAGCTAGTGAGACCTGTAACTGAGCAGATGATTGAGTTCAACATTTTGATTGCTGGTGAAAAGTACAGTGAGGAGCTGAAGGACCCAGCTACTGTGGAGCATCAACTGCTGTCTGAACGATTCATTTCTCAGGTGATTACCTTCCCTAACTTCCTTTTTCCTTTTGCTGGCTCTGCAAAGCAATAGCAGCACAAAGCATCAGTGTCAGGGCTGCTTTTTTCTCATGGGCTGTGCGGAACCAGCTTAAGGCTTTTGTTGGCCTGAGGCAGGCTGGAAAATACCCACCCACTATGGGAATACACTGTTCTGTCTGACATGCTGCCTTTTGAAGCAGAAAAGTGCCATACGTTGTGTGTAGCATGCCAGCTGCTGGAGACCCTCGTTTTCTTTTTGTGATTTTAATGATATATCCTGCTATAATTTTTGCAGGCAAAAGAGGTAAAAGTATGCTTTTGGGAGGATCAGAAAATTATGCTGAACCCCTGAATGGGGACATAGTCTAAACAGGATCTTTCTGAGGGATTGTGCTCTCATTTTCTTTCCCCCATTTTCTGATCTCCTTGATTTACTTTGCGTCATGTTAGCAAAAGAAACGAATCCAATATTTTCACTTATTTTAGTCCTTTTAAAGACCTACTTCTACCAGGGCTGGCATAGACCTTACCATTCTTTTGGAATTTTTCAGTACTCTCCCTATCAGTGTTACTGCAGTAGAGCTTTTAAACTCACAGAGAAGTAGTTAGTCGCTTGTTTACCTACTGATGCAACTTCATTAGTTCTTAAATTTGCAGGACTTGAAAATCTTAAATTTCAAAGAGACATTGAACATCTCTCCAGTGACCAGTCTGCTTAGAGTTCGTTTCAGTGTTTTCTAATCAACTCTTCCAGTTTGAATTCTTCTGTAATTAGCTGTTCTGGGCAGTGAAAAAAGATAATTTGAGGGTCTGAGCAAACCAGCCTGCCAGCACTCTCAAGTAGACAGGTCCATCAGCATCTGCTGATTTGGACATGCACTGAAATGGGATAGAGGATACCTTAACAATTACTGTCTATACAGAGTAGGTGATAAATGGGGAGATCAGAAGAATTCACAAACAGCAGAATTCATTTGTTATTTGTGCTCAGGAGCAACATTTCTTTGAATGAATTGTTTGCATTGCAGTGAGATCCTCTCTCAAATCTAGGCTGCCAAGACAACTCTTGCTCCTCATTTATGCCCAGAGTGAGCAGTTCATGGGACTGCATTTTAAAACTCCTTCACCCAGTTCTTAAACACATGCTCAAATCCCACTGGAGTCAGCGGGAATGAACTATGGTTTAGACTGTTAGGCACATACTTTAAAGAAAAAATACATAGGTGCATTATACATATAAATATACACAAGTATGTATGAGTTATTAAAAAAATTGTTTCAATTATTTTCATTTGAATGCTACAAATAAAGTTACTGGCCCACCAATATACAAATGTATTCCTAAAGTATGATAATATACTGCTGTGTTCTAATTTTCCTCTCCCTATTATTTCCAATTTTTTAAAATTTTGTCTATAATGGTGGTAACTTTATTACCATAATTTTCTTGTGTCAGGGAGTTTGTCTTTCTTTTTTCTTGGGAGAGGTATTTAGAGTGCCATATGGCAGCTCATCATGAGGCTTATCTTTTCTCTAGCTTTGCTTCCTTCTTTGTCCCATCTAGTTGGGGTTCTCTGTTGAATCCCTTTTACTGGGGCCAACCCTCTGCCAGATCCTGAGCCAGATGGGAAAGAGATGTACTCTTCACTGCAGCCAAAAAGCATCACCACAACTGTCACAAGTTGCTAGCGTAGGCTAGACATCTTAATTTTCCTAGTTGTGTGGCCAAGTAGCAATGCCATAGTGTGTGTGTGCATTAGAAATGTCAGATGGGACAGAGTCCTGGCACATGGATGTTCCACTCCTTTGATCCCTTGCCTGGTTTTCTCTGAGCATGAATAAAGAAGCTCTTGAAAAAAAGAAAGTCGGCAGCACTTTGATTGTTTAAGTCTCACCAGAGACAGTTTAAAAATAGGGATATCAAGGAGCGGAATAAGAATTTGCAGAGTAAAAAATAATCCTCAACTGGCAAAGATCTTTTGGGAGCTAAAAAAAACCCTCAAAACTAGCATGAACCTTCAATATTCCATATCTTGTAGCACAGTTGACTATTGAAACAGGTGTGGATGTACTTCCATTTTGCTGTCCCCAGTTGTCTTTTTTGAACAGCACTGCTGGTCTCTCCTGAGCCCTTTGTAAGTTTAGGGCAGTGGAGATGAGCTGTGTTTTACACTATGTTGTGCCTCTTTGGAATCTGAGAGGTCCCTTTCTTATGGCAGCCGCTGCTCCACTTAAGTTGCTAAGGTCCAGAGCATTTTCCTGATTTCTTTTTAATCCAGAGGGGTGTGGGAAGTAATGGAAACTTTGGGCAGAGAGGGATTTGTGCTGCATAAATAAGAAAAAAGAATGTAGTCCACTATGGGCCGTGCAGGTCTCTGCAGTCTCCTTGAATGTGTCTATACAGTTGCTGGGGAATGCTGGATGTTGTTCTTCATACTTTTTATTTTCCCTTTTCCTTTTCTAATAACAAAACAATGTCACCAAAACTACTCTTCGATAAAGAAAGAGAATATTCAACCATTTTTTCCCCGTTAGATATAACAGCTCAGGTATATTTATGGAAAATGTTGAAAACACTTCCTGATTTTTTTTTTTTTACCACATGAGTAGGGTGAAGGTGTGTTAATCTTTTGTTTTTTCCTCAAAATAGATTAAAAGTGTATTTGAAGTACTACCTGGATACAAAAACATCCACATCCTGGATTACAGGTAAAAAGATACTGATGCATACGTGGTGGTTGGAACTGATCATGTATGGTGGTGCAGTGAGCTACCATGATGCCTGGAAGAATGTTGGGCATGTGTGGGGGAGTTCCTAGGATGTATTAACCAAAGGACAAGTGCTTTCATATTTGGTACCTCTATATATAACAGTTGAAATAGAAATACAGAGCTGTATGCAAATGCAAATATCATGGTTTGGGGTTTTTTTAACGATTCTATCATAAAATTAAAAGGTACACTAACATCTAATACTTCTTCTGTACTGTTGATATCTCCTAGTATTAAACAAGGAAGAACACAAACTTTTTTGGAAAAATGTGGTGTATTTAAATTTCTTTTTGAACTTCTTAATGTTAATTTGGGATGACTCTAAACTTTGGTGTTTAGAATATGTAAAGGTCTTTCTCTCTTGGATCAAAACAAAGGTGGGCAAATAGTTTGATATGCAATGTTTTTACTCTCTTTATTCCTGTAAGTATTTTTTTTAAGACTAATTTCCTGAATTCAGTTTGTGCTTCAGAATGACATTTTAAGTTAATTTGCTAAGTTAATGCATCAAACATCTGATGTCTGAGTTTTGGGGTACATGGATCACAAACTGTGATTTTTCTTGAATGGACTGGATATAACTTTCAGAATCTAATGATACTGTTCATGAGTTAATCTAAATTGTGTTTTCTTGGAGACTGTAAGCTGTGTTTCTTAGAATTTATTGCCTAGGGAACTGTAGCTAGATTACATACAGGTAACAAAGTAGCTATAGTGAGAAAGGTTTTGTGGCTGGAACCTTAGACTGTGTCCAGTTTTCAGCCTGAAATGTAGCAAAACCTTCCATCTTGGTATTTTCAGTCTAATACATTTGCAAGCTCTTGGTTCATTTGGGGAGACAAATAAAAGTTGGTATTTCTGGCAGAGCACCAGAACTCTCTCCTCTGCTGTGCATGACAAAACCCCAAGGTTGTAGACTAAACCTTTAGGTAGAATTAGTGAGCCTTGATCTCCTTGATCTTGAACTGCATTATGTGTAGTAAGCTGAGATGCCTTTGCTGATTCCTTGGGTTCAATAGGAAATATCAGTTCAGTAAAAGCAGAACAGTTTATGTAGCAGAATAACTATGCAACTTAGTAGTATTTTGCTTTGTGCATTTTCAAATTAGTGTGCCCTGTAGAATACCAAAGCAAATTTGTAAAAACTGTAAGACTTAAAGGAAATTATGACACCGATTTAACAGGTTTTGCTGTTCTGTTTTGTTTTTATATTCAGCCCTTCCGAGGAAGACAGGTAAAGACAACTTTTTTATAAATATTGTCATAATACAGATGGAAAAAACATGTTTAGCTGGAGGACATTGTTTTGGGGATTTGTAGTTTTGGCTCCAGAGCAAGATAGTTATCCAGCATAAATATTATGTGACGGGTTCTACCAAAAAATGCAAGTCACTGATCTGTTTTGATTAAAGATAAACCTAATTTGCTTATTTAAGTCCTAATAATAATAATAAAAAAAATACTCAGGGAAAGTCTACCTAAACACAAGTCAGCTACTGGGCTAAGAGTCTCTTTTGTGAAGTAAACAAAATTGCTTAATGATTACTCGAGGTCTTCATATTTTGCAGCAAAGTCTTGAATATATCAGGGGTGATTATTATACTGAAATAAAAGTAGGCAAGAAAACCACAGTTCTCCAGCAAAGGCAGTTGCTTTAGCTACTTAAAGGGCAAAGGTGCTTCACGTTTTACCAGAATTTTCGTAAACGTTCTTTAGCAGAACATGGGATCAGTCTGGACTTGTTTTTCATCAGATATATGCAAGTTAAGATTACTAAATTTTCTTTAGTATTTTAAGAATTTCACAAGACAGAAAATGAACTGTGGCATTAACTTACTAGGTGTATTATTTTCTTTTGTGTATATCTCAGCAAAGGCATAGCCAGTTTCCATGGAGAATTTTAAAGAGCATTCTAATTTTAGGAGAAAGGTTAGATAACACAAATCTCTTCACAAACTGTAGTGACTTAAAGCCATCCCCTACTACTGTGCACTTCTGGAGGATAAGATGCATGCAACTGCTCACAAAGACTATGTTCCAACCACCAGATGTTTAGCCTTTTCCAGACAGATGATGGTGTTGTAGTTATTTGTTTGGAATTATTAAAGGCAACTGACAGTACAGTTGTGTTAAATCTAAAGGTTATGTTTGAGGAGCATGCTCTGTTCCATCTTTGATGTGCCTTTTCACTACTGCTGTCTTTTATTTCCTCTTCTGACAGTCAGTGTCCTTGATGAGCTTATTTTGGACTTATTTCAATGATAGAGCCACCAGCAAAACTCCAGCAGGCTCCTCATTTTAGTCAGTGTGTTTGCAGATTATGTCTCTGTTGTATCTGGTGCTGGGACTTGAAGACTCCCCTGAACAGAGAAATTATTTTAGCAATCCAGTTCAGCTCCCTGGAATGAGCAAAACCTGTATTCAGGGCACATTTTTCTAACACTTCATAGATTACTTAATTTTCTTGCTGTATTCTGTGTACAGCCAAAATATGTTATATTTTCTAAAGCTCCCTTGTGCTTATGCCATGGTAAATTGGATTGCTGCCTATACTGTCATGTGGAAAAGGACATGCAAATGTATTCAGAAAAAGAAAATTAAGATAATGGAGGAGAATTAATATGAAAAAAAACTAAGCTGTACACAGATACAAAACCAAGTTATAGAATAAATGGTCAAATGAATCTAGATAAATATTCCCAATTATAAGCTGTATGAAATACCATTTTATTGCTATTAAAGACATTCTTTCGAACAAGTTGACACTGCACAGTGACAGTGATCAGGGCTCTCACTTGCTACTGTAGATTGCTGCTATATACAGCCTGTTTTTCCTTTTGGTTTTCATACCTCAGAACCATTCCCATCATTGGCATGACCTTAAAATCATCACTCTCACCACTGCATGCTGGTGGGTCCATTAATAATGCTGGTAAAAAGCCAGCCTTTTGGTCTGCTTGTGGTCTGTCTGCCATTCATTACTAGAAGTACAGGGCTGGGACCAGACCAGGTGTCAGCTTTTGGTAGCCTTTTCCTTGAGAACTTTGCATTGGTGGAAAGCACAAGCAGATACAAAAGTGAAAAGAATTAAATAGTTTTTATTTAGAGTCCTTTAAAGCCATATGTTTTTATATTAAAAAGTGTATTGAACAGGTTCTGGGGAAAAAATATCAGAGTGTTTGCTATACTTTGGAAAACCTGGCATTTCTCATCTGTGTTCTCTTTGTCTTTGTACAACTGAAGTGGGGTAGAAGTTCACTATGCTGTTACATTTGATGGAAAAGCCATCACCAATGCCACCTGGGACCTGATTAACCTTCAATCCAACAAGGTGGAGGACAACTCCTTTATGGGCATAGAGGATAATCCAACAGTTGTGTACACCATCAGTGATTTCCGAGATTATATTGCTGAAATCCTCCAGAAAAATGCTTTGCTTGAAAACACTTCCTTGTCTTTAGACCCTAACTCTCTCCAGCTTACTAATGGTGAGTATTAATTATGATGCACTGGTGTGTCACATATCTGAATTTTTATAAACTAAATCTCAGATGAGCAAATTATTCAGTTGCCCTCTTAATAATTAAACAGAGAGAACAAAACCAACTATGTTACAGCTTCTTTTGCTCTGGTCTTAACTAGGCCAAATCATTAGCAGTAGCATCCCATTTTTTTAATCCATTAGTTTAGTCTCTTTTTTTTTATTTTTACACTAAGGTTTGTGCTGTGCAATTCCAGTAACACTTCCAAAATAGGAATAAAACACTTCCAATAGGAATAAAAAGGGTTCACATGATACACCTTGCACCAAGGTGACCTTCAGCTTAGTAGCCCTGTGTTGGCCTTGAGCAGCACAAGGAAATAACTGGGTTATTGTTGAATATTCAGTGATCCTGCTAGAGGTGATGAAAGAGGGCTGTCACCCCTTTGTTCTTATCTTTCCTCTGTACTTCCTATCAGTGATTTGGGGGGCATTTCCAGGAATAAAATCTCTCTGACAAATTTTTTGAGAAGATTTTACTCACAAATCTGAGATCAGAGAGGGTTTTTCAGTCAGTCTTCTAACATAACCTCCTCACACTGCTATGGCAACCTTTAGATCCCAAGTATTTATGTTTTCACAGTGAAAGAAATACTACACCCCACGTCAGAAGACCCATCCTGGATTACTGAGCATCCAGTTGTGCTGGAGCGCCCGGAGTTCGATGTGAGTATGGTTCTGAGCAGAGGCCTTTGGACACATTTGAACAATTTAACTCAGCAAGGTGGAATTGTAGCCAACACCCAGAGCTCCTCTATCCCACTGTACATGCAGAATAAGTAGTAATGAAGGCATACCTTATATTAGAGTAAAAACTGGTGAAATCTCTCATATAACAATTCTGGTGTCTGTTGCACCAGTTTTCTGTGATCATCTTGTTTAGACTGTAAACTGCTCTAAAGGCATGATTCTTCCTTCCATTATCCTATGTTTTTTTGGAAAGCAACAAATAAATGTAAACCCTAAAGCTGGCTACTGGAAGAGATAAAATGCTAAGTTTCATATGCTCCTTTTGTTACTGTATTACCTTCACAGAAAATTCTCAGCTTGGTTTTATGTCTATCCCCCTAATGCCAGCAAAGGAAACAGAAATATAACAGGTGGTGAAATTGTAATTATCTCCTCTGATTACCTCTGGAACAAGCCAGGACATAGACTGAAGTTCCCTATTGGACAGGAGGCTCAGTATCCCTAACCGTGTCTGTACAATGCAAAGGGACTTTAGGCAGAGATAGTGAGTTAGGTGCTGGCCACACTGAGATCAAGTCAATTAGTTCTGCCTACAGTGAGAACTTCTGAATGGTGGAGCATTGTCTGGGCAGTAGGTTTCTGCTCTGCACTCAGTTGTATAACACAGATGTGCCTTCCACAAAGAAATGAGCTCAGATCGTGCCATAAAATCCACATCCCCCTGTGCTGGATGGTAGGTTCTCACTAAGCCTGTTATGAGACAATGCTGTGACAGACACATCTAATTTCAGGTCAGCTTCTGAAAGCTTTATGTAAGCAAAATTTGTAGTCACTTGACAGAACCCAAATATTATTAGAATGGAAAGAGGTATAATATCCTTAATTTCATGCCAGCTTTTCCTGAGTTTTAATCACTGGTGTCTAAAATACAAATTCATATGAATTTACCATAATGGCTTAAATGTGGTATGGATTTAAGTTAACTTTCAGAAAAGGTCTTTCTCTTTACTAGAGCTGTCTAACTAGTTTAAAGTATTGCACATATTTATTTTAGTAAGACAAAGAATTCTTCCATCTTTACATTCTATCTGTGGATAATCTGGCAGATGTGCAGGAAAGAAGATTTTAGAGTAGCGGTAGCTTTGCGATAATAAATTTTAACCCAATTTTGGGGAATACTATGTATGAGAAAAAATTATGGAAGTTATATTTTTCTAATTATGAGCTATGAATAATCTATGACTTCAATCAAGAACTCTAATTACATAAAAGATATTGAGTATATCCCCAAACCAGCTGTGTACAATCTGCAATACACAGATAATTTGGGAAGTAACTTCACATAAATTTAAGAAAATCAAAAACATGCTTAAACAGTAAAAAATTGATCAATTACTTCCAGAGATGTCAAACGTTTATGGATACACTTAAGTAGAACTGCTAGCTATGGAAAAGAATTTTGCTATGATTCTTCTTAGCTGATTTGAGAATAAGTTGGATTTGTATTATCATACATACTTATGACATAATGTGGGACTGTCATGACTTCACTATCTAATTACTAGCAGATGGTACCACTAATTTTCTTTTGAGTTTTACAGATCTCTTAAAAAGTAAAGCAAAATTAAGTCTATTTTTCGAAATCCATATTTTCTTGTTATTTCTGTGAGTTGTAACAGGTAGAATGCTCTGGCTTGCTGAATACAATGCCTTTCTGGCAGCAGAAAATGGAAAATCAGGGAGGGATTTCTGTGTTTGCAGTCATCTGTCATATTTGTAAGCTTTTCAAAAGACATTAGCAAAAACCAGAACTTGCCAAGGTGATATTAAACTTGTTAATATAATATATTGCACTGTAACAAGAATCTTTGAATAATGTTAGTTGCCATAGGAACATCTATCCACATTCGAATAAATGATGAAGTGCAATCCCTGGCAACTAAGTGCTCACATAAAAAAAAAATGTATTGAGAAGCTATTGCTGGTAGTCCTTATTCATTCTTTATGGAATTTATACATGTAATTTGTTTCTAATTTTGTATAGTAACTGTTTTTACAGGTTTATTTATAGTGGTCAGTTTTGCCAAAAAATATAATTGCTGGAGCACATGTCTATGTGATATATATAATTTTCAACTGCTTGTTACCATATAAATTAAAGAATGTGAAGAGACTGTGGTGGCATAACAACTGGCATTTTTAAATGTGATCAATGCAGGTAAACAAGTAATTTAATAAAAATACCTTAACTGGCCTGTTCCCAAAGCATTCAAGTACAGTTTGAATGAAGCTGAAAATTTAATTCACCCACAACCAGGAGTAAAATTTCAAAGTGTTTGGATTCTTCCCGTTATCCCTGCTGGTCAAGTAATAGAAAGAGATTTGACAGGAATGGTGAGCTACAGAAATAGTTAGAATGGTTTTGAACTGTAATATGTATTATAGAACCCTGTGTCCACTGCCCACTTAACTTTGCTCATCACCATCAGCAGTTGGTTAGTTCTTAGTAAATTGCTGCTTCTTGAAAGTGCTTGGCAGGTTTTGTATCCCATGGGTTGGTCCATATCACATTGATATGTGGGCATGTGTCTGTGTGAAACACTAATTCCCGAATTTTAGGCTGGCAGCTTGCTTTTGTAGCCTTGACCAAATAACTTATCTCTTTATTAGCTTTTCCCAACATAATTGGCTTTTCCCTCATCAGACACCATGATAGTAGATTAATATTCAAAGATGAAATGTGCTAACTATTTTAACTGCAAATCAAATAATGATTGGGATGTGAAGTAGTAAGTAAACAATGTGGAAACTGGAGATGTAAAACCAAATTATCTTTTCACATTCCAAACAATTAGTTCTGCATACTCTTTGTTGTTCATAGTTACCGCTGATAGATTTATTTTTTTTTTTCTGCACAGGCATCTTGGCTTTGAGACTAAAGTTATTCCAGGTTCTCAACATTCTTCTTTACATTATGGTTTTTGTTTCCCTCCTGGGTTCTTATGCCCAAAAATTAAAAGATACCAATAAATGATCACTGAGCATGCATACATTCAAGCTCTGTTTTATGTATCATAGTAACTGCAATATTATAATTAATATATTGATTGCGTGCCTGAATAATAGCTGCTAAAACCTCATCATGCTTTAGGAAGTCAGGCAGAATTTATCTTTGGTTTAATTAGAGATGGACAGATTCATTTTTTTAGTACAAGAAAGGATAAGGGGTTGGGTGTAGATGCCAAATCTGTTGATCCTGTAAGTGATGTTGTACTCCAAACAATCTGAATAGCTCCTTTCCCTTTTCAATGGACACGATTGGACATGACATAAGCCACAAGGACATGCATTTTACATGTATATTGCACACGATTAGCAAAGGGTCTATATTTGCTAGTCCTCCCAGTTTAACCCCTCCTGCTGCTGTGCATTGCTCTCTCACAGAGGCAGTAGTACAAGACTGCTGCTGCCTGCTGTTAACACCCTCTATGTCTTCAGCTCAATGCCGATAATCAATGTTTCCCCTGTAATAGTGGAAATATTAATAGTAGGTTTATGTTCCAGGACAGCACCTTTCTAGCTGAACGTCCCTCAGCAGATGAATCGACAGTCAGCAATGCCTTGCCCTTTGATTACACCAAACCAGACTCCACTTCAGACAGTGAACAGTCCAGTGACAGTGAAATCCAGCCAAGACCAGAATCTGTGGACTCAGAGGCCGGTTTGGCACCTGAAGCTCCACTTTCCTCAGAGGCTGACGACACTTCTTTGCCTGATGGGCTGAATTTAGAGGATGGGAGTCAGACTCCTCATTTGGTCCCTGCACCAGAGTTAGAGCATGATTCTGAGGACTCTCTGGAATGGTTTTCACCCCCCAGTTCTTTAGATGGTAAGTTAATGCCATTGACTGGAGCTTAAATTTGGACGCCAGTGTTTTCTGATACTCACCAAATTACAGTTCACCAAAATGACTTTTCAAAACATCTAAAAATTGGCTTTCTTTCTCTGCTAGTTTTTACCTTTCTTGTATGCATATACTTAAGAACAATATACCAAGGTAAAATGTTTGTAATAACTAATAATGCCTGTTTATCCCTTCTGGAAATGATACACACATGATGCTTGTTTAATTTCATAGAATTAATTTTGCATGTCTTGACTTGGCCCATATAATATCTGAATGGGAAAGTGGGACAGGTCAACATGGGTCCATCTGACTTTGGCATACAAAGACCAGGATATATTATGGGAAACATGTGGAATACAGATCTACAGATAATAAAGTTAATGTAGTTTGACCCTTTTTATCATGAACCACAACTAATTGGAAATTTATTTTTATTTTTAATAGTTGAAGATACTGGACTATCTGAAGATCTTTTGCCTTCAAGTCCCTCTCACCTTGTGCCTGAAGAATTTCCGTCTACAGATGATTATGCAGTTCCTCTGCTTCCTGCACCAACAGTGGCCTCTTCGTCAGTCATAGAGACTGATGTTAAAGAAATAGTATCTGCTGAGAAGGAAGAAGAAACTCAAGGTAGTCCTGAGGGCAGTGACAGTGCAGACTCTGTGGAAGAAATTCCTTTTCCCTTAGAAGTACCCCCTATGGAAGATGAAACTGATATGTTTCTTGGAGATAGAGTTATATATGATGATGGGTCTGGTTCAGCTTTTGATGGTTCAGGAAAAGAAATGGAATCAAGTATCTGGCCTTGGGAAGAAGCAACATTGGAACCAGTTTTTTACCCTGGTCCTGATAGCTGGCTTGAAGATGACAATGAGTCTTTGTTAATCAAAACTGAGGATATTCCTGAAGGCATGATCTTAGACTATATTCTCAACTCCGAGAATAAATTAGATTATGATCCTTCCAAAGATGAGAATGAACATATAGTCAATATAAAAGATTTCCTTGATGAGTCTGAAATATTTGTCTTTCCAGAGACTACAACTCCGCCAGTACCTCTGTTACAGACAGAAGAGCCATCATCTGTGGAACCATCTACACAGGCAGAAACACTGGGCATGTATGATTCTTCTTTTGTTAAACCGTCCTTGGTTTTGGAGCCTTCGGTGGATCATTCCGCTGTAGACATGCCAACTGGAGAGGTGCCTGTCTCACCACAGTACACAGATCTGTCTGTGGAAGATCGTCTGCTTACATCTACAGAGACTGTCAGTATGGAGCAACCTGAAGAGTCCAGTGTAGATCAGAACATAATTTCTGAAGAAATTGAACACCAAAAGGAAGACAGGACAATGGTAGAAGAACTATACACAGTGAAGCAGTCAGATGTAATGGAAGCTGCTACAATAGGACACTTGGACACAAGCTCTTCAGGAACCATTCTGCCTGCAGGTCCTTCCATGGTAAAGCCTGATGCTTCCACAGAGGAGCAGCAAGCCCTAGATTCATCATTGGCAGGCCAAGACACTACTGGATCAGCAGTGAAGAGACCAGCTGATGTTTGGCCTACTGACAGAACACTAGAAACCTCCTTAGATCAGACAGTGCAGTTAGCAACGCCAACTGCCCCTCAAGTTTCAACTGCAGTTCCTTCTGTGATAGATCAGACCACTGTCCTGGAGGACTTCGCTGGGCAGGGTGGTACAGACCACGTTTCCATGAGCTTCAGCACTGCTGTGAAGTATGAAACAGTGAGAGTAACAACAAGCCCCACTGAGCTTCCATCCCATCTCCCTCCTGTGGGATCCACAACATCATTGTCTGTGGCTGCCTCAACAAAGCTGGGAGATGAAACGACAAGAGCCCTAGATATTTCAGTAGACCTGGACCGTGTGAGCACTGTCCACTTTTTTCCTGAGCAGACTGAGGAGGGAAGGAGAATGACCGAAAGTCACATGGAGCTAACAACTCGTATCCAGTCCACAGAGATGGCCAGTGTGGCTTGGGCCACACATGAAACTCACTATAGTAGTACTGTCCCGTCCCGAGCTCTAGTTGTGTTTTTCAGTCTTCGGGTTACCAACATGATGTTTTCAGAGGACCTCTTTAATAAAAACTCCCCTGAATACAAAGCATTGGAACAGCGGTTCTTGGAACTGGTAAGAATGACTTCTATACTAAATGTCCATGACCAGATAGACACAAATTGTTGGCATTGATATTTAATAATCTTTCTTGCAGAGAGCAACTCAAAACTGGTGTTTACAGATATGATTTTTGTCCCCCCACAGGAAAATTCTGTCTGGAAACAGGTGATGGGATGTTTGTCTTTTATTTAGTCAATATTCTCTCTAAAGCAGAACTTTTTAGTTCACTTTTTAGTGATGAGGTAACTTTTCTGCAACACATTCAACCCATCCTAAGAGGTGGCTCAGAGAGCTAAGCTATTCCTTCCCTGGCTGATGACTAGCAAAGCCTCACAGGAGTTATACAGCAACAACCGCCAATTTTTAACTGGGAAATTCACCTCTTCTAACTGAAATGAATATTTTTTGTGGGAGATAAGGGAACAAAGAACAGGGGGGGAAGTGGGACGTGCTTCAAGGAAAAACCCTGTGAAATAGCAGTTATGGCTGGTGCTTAGATCAAGGGAGAACTGTATTTCTGAATCATAAGTTTTTAGAAACTGTCTGACAATTGGTATACTCTTAAGAGATGCCTGAAGTACTCAGGCTCCTGGCAGGCTGCCAGCACAGAACTCAGTTGGGTAAAGGTTAATACCTTTGCTGCGGGATTTGGATAAAGTCATTCAGACTCCTGCTGTCTGATGCGGTAACAGTGCAACAGAATTGAGTAGAGAGAGATTCAAAGATTCAGCTTTTCTGTCACATCTCCTATGTTGCAGCTGGTGCCCTACCTTCAGTCAAATCTGACGGGATTCCAGAATCTGGAAATCCTGAACTTCAGAAATGGCAGCATTGTGGTGAACAGCCGAATGAAATTTGCCAAACCTGTGCCTCGGAATGTCACCAATGCTGTGTACTTGATCCTGGAAGACTTCTGCAACACTGCATATCACACCATGAACCTGGCCATTGATAAATACTCCCTGGATGTGGAATCGGGTAAGGACAGCAGGGAAATGCAGTTTAAAAGCAAGGCATTTAGAACAATTTCTGCTTTAAGTACTAAGGATCCCAGCAGCTCAGAGACTGCCCACTGATTTTCACAGACTGGGCTTCAGAAACACAATCTTTCAGAGTTTAAACAAACAAATAAAAATCTGTTATGGGACTAAAGAGATGAAGATAAAAGTGGGACTCAGACAGAGCAAGCTGTATGGGATCCATATAGAATTATGGAGACAAATTGACTCATGTAATACTCTATATAATACCACTGCACTTTACCTGGGGAGCAAGGGAGTAGCCTGCTCAGGTAGAACAGTGGTGCTCATCTCTCTTTTGTTTAGTTTCATGTGTGGTATGAACTTATTCCATGTGGTTACTCCGACAGGTGGTAGCCAGTTTAGCTGCCAGGTGAGCATCTGCACAGGTAACAGCCGCTGCCTCATTCTTGTGGTAAGGCCTTGATTGCACTAAATAGTTACAGGCCCTCTTGGTTCACTTCTCTGATACAGGGAGAAAGTGTTTTTTCTCTGTCCAATTAGCCAGTAGTGGAGAAAGTTTTTTTCTCTGTCCAATTAGCCAGTAGTTTACCATATAAGCAACTCGAAAATATTGCCTGTTTTAAGGTTAGAGAAAAACAAGAGTGCTGACCTGTTGGCAAATGGTAGCTGTTCTTCACAGGTAGCTCTCTTAAAAAGATGGTCTAATTAGCATGAAAAAATCTTCTGATGTTGATCATTTAGGTGTATGGCAGCCTCTTAAGCTTGATACAAGTGAGATCTCTTGAATGCTATAAGCTTGTGTTCCTTGCAGACAAAAGGGCAAATCCCCTCATAGCAGATGGTGAGTGCCCAAAGTCCCACTGCCCTTCCCTATATGCTGCCTAGGTTTTCTGTAACAAGAAATGCTGGAGTTCAGCTGTGTTTTACTCATTTGCAAAATATAGTTCCAGCAGAGAGAGAAAAGTAAGAAAAAGATCACTTTATATACTTGTTTTTTTGATTGTTTTGTTGGGTGGTCTTCTCCGTGACACTGTGCAGACAGAGGAATACTTGCTAGTGTTTGTTCACCTCAGCAGAACCTTTTGTTACTTGGGAAAGATGCACACTGGATTTTTGTGGATTAACTAAGAGACCATTAGAGAAAATGGCAGCAGACAGGCAGCACTTTGCCTCAATTAAGGTTCTCCTCTATCATTAATATATTCTGCTCTATGTATTGTCAGGTGAGCAAGCAGATCCCTGCAAGTTCCAGGCCTGCAATGAATTCTCCGAGTGCTTAGTAAATCGCTGGAGTGGAGAAGCTGAGTGTGTCTGCAACCCTGGCTACCTGAGCATTGACGGGCTGCCGTGCAACAGCATTTGTGATCTGCAACCAAACTTCTGCCTGAATGATGGGAAGTGTGACATAAGCCCTGGGCAAGGGGCCATCTGTAGGTAGGTCATCCTGCTGTTTGAAGTTGTGCTTCCTGTATGAAAACCCTTTATTGTCTCCTGTGTTGTAGCATTCTACAAGATTTGTCTAAAATTCTGTACAATAATGTATAACAAGTGAGTAGATATTATCGTTCATGTTATGCTGCTGTGTGCAAGTCCCAATATTAACATTAGTTTTCCTGTGTATATATCAGAAATGAGACAGTAACAGATTAATAGAATAGAAACATCAGGAAATAAGCTAACTAGGAAAAATGGTTGCACACACAGTTGTTCAAATCATTTGCATTGACCTTTGGGGACAGAATTTATCTCCAGAGGTTCTGTGAAGTAGCAAAGTGTTAGATAATGTCATATAACATATAGGAGTTAATTCCATCACAAAAGTTCATCCCTGAAAGGCAGACTGATAGAGAACAAATATTTTAAATATAATGCTTTCATTTAAGAAAAAATTATAAGAGTAAATACTGGACATTTGGCAAAAATCATTTGTGATTCACAAAAGGATCAAGGCACAGGCCCTATAGTTCAATTTTTTGCTTAAAAAAAGATATAGATGCATCTGAACAGGATTGCTGTATTTTGCAGGCAATGGAAAAGACTTAGTACAAGATACAGACAAATTGATGCTGCTGCTGACACTGCATTTAATTTTTTTACTTTTCAAGCAAACTAACAGTCTATTTTTAAAAGCAAAATATACCTATCAGCAAAAGTTAAGAGAATTATTGCAAAGAAGAATATTATTACTAATAGTTATTATTTATTTCATGTGATTTTTCTTTTTAAAGCTTACCTAGAACATCTTTCAAGTCAGAGTCCTAGTATTTAACAGAAGAAAAAAATTTTAAAAACTATAAAAATAGGTACTATCACAGATGTATTATAACTTTGATAATATTTGTATAATAGTGTTAATTAGAAGCAGGTAAGTATCTGAAATCCAGCATGTTCCAGTCTGTATTTATTAAGAACTTTCTGAAAAAAAACCTGAAGTATTGCTTGCTACTTTCAGAAACTATTTCAGATAATTATGTTAAAAAACTTAATTTACTGATGTTTCTTATCGATAAGGTTCATTGCTGTGTCATACCACCTTACAATTCCTTGAGTTTTTATAGTAAAAACTCCCAAACACACATAATGCAAATATATTATTTTTCCTGGTGTATTTAAAGTCAGTATTAACATTAAAGTTCTCATGTGTAAAACCGAAGTAAGGCAGGAATACTGAATACTGTTTTGGGCAACCATTCCAAAGATACAGTCTTGAACATACACTTCTTTCTATCGTTTATTTTGTGTATCTATTTAACAAACCATTGTGGAGTTCACTACACTATAACATTTTGCTCAGTTAACACCCCTTCGTTCGTATTTGCGTTACAAGATGATAAAGGCAACTGCTTATATCAGTTGTACAGTACTGGATATGTCACATGCAAGGCTCAGGCAAGGCAGGACTTTTTACTTAGTCTAAACACCTTCCAGTTTTAACAAATCACAGGATACTCTAAACTGCAAAAACCAGTGACTTTTTCCATCACAAATACATTACCCTTTTACTCTTTTACTTCAGTAATTGGAGTAGTTCCTCCTGGAGAAGAGAAGGCTCCTAGGAGGTCTTCCTGTGGCCTTTCCATATTTAAAGGGTGCTTATAAGAAAGATGAGGACAAGCTCTTTATCAAGGCCTGTTGCGATAGGACAAGGTTTTAAACTAAAGGAGGGTAGACTTAGACTAGATATAAGGAAGAAATTTTTTACATTGTGGATGGGGAAACACTGGAACAGGTTGTCAAGAGAGGTGATAGATGCCCCACACTTGGATTGGATGGGGCTCTGAGCATCCTGGTGTAGTTGAAGATGTCCCTGCTTATTGCAGGGGTTTGGACTAGATGGCTTTTGAAGGTCTCTTTCAACCAAAACTGTTATATGATTCTATACCAAAAAGAATGTTCGCAATAATAATAATAATGAAGAAAATTGGTGATTGAACAACGCGAACGTATTTATTGAGGTGACTTAACTGAGAGCACACCCTAATGAGAAGTTAAATGCATTAATCAGAGCTTTTGCTGGTGCTTAATTTCCCTGTGTTTCTTTGCGGCAGGTGTCGTGTGGGAGAGAACTGGTGGTACAGGGGGGAGCACTGTGAAGAATATGTGTCTGAGCCGCTGGTTGTGGGTATTGCAATTGCTTCTGTGGCAGGATTTCTTCTTGTGGCATCTGCTGTCATCTTCTTCTTGGCCAGGACCCTTCGAGACCAGTATACAAAGAGTGACAGCGGTGACTCACAGGGGTAAGTGACACCGTCTAATACTTTAGAACACATCAGCTGCAATAAGGATAATTCTGTCGTAAGTCTTATATCACACAGTTGACAAGCAACAGGATGTGCAGGCACCTCCAAATGCCAGGCTTCCTGAGTCTATCTGCTGCCCTTCCAGGCTGCAGAGAAGCTCACAGTTTGTTTATTGCTCCCCCAGGCAGGGTGACAGCCTCTCGTCCATTGAGAATGCAGTTAAATACAACCCCATGTATGAAAGTGATACGACTGGCTACAGCCATTATTACCGGAGATATCCTCAGCTAACGTCCTACAGTTCCACCAGTGCAGAGACATCCACAGACTACAGCAGTGAAGAGATCAGGCACATTTATGAAAACAGTGAGCTTACTAAGGAGGTAAATGATCTTATTTTCATAGTGTCATGGGAAAGATCATGTAAGCAGTAAACTTATTCCACACTTCTAACCTCCGAGGTGGGCCCAGTCTTTCCCCAGTGTCTATACTCTGGATAAACAAAATGCAGCTATGATTGCTGCAACTACTTAAGAGAAGACAGAAAGGTTTTTTTTCCCTGCTTGCTTTAAGGTGCAGAGAAAGGAATGGGTTTGTTCTGACCCGTAATGAATTTCACATAAAAAAGGAGCTGACTCTTTAAGTGACTTCACGGGAGTTGGGGAGGTTTAATGTGTTGCTCAACACAACCTTTACCTTTTAATGCTAACTATCTTATGTAAGAGGAGTTACACAGTGAAAAACTGGTACATCCGGGTCTTTTCACAGTTTTTTTTTTGTTTTGGGTACTTTTTGATGTTTTTTAAAGTTTAGGTCTTTCGATAACCTGCAAGTTAGATCACATCCTTCTCCTTTCTTTCTGAATACACAGTATCCAAGGTTTACTCTAGAAAGCTAAAAAGAAGGGATTTATTTACATCCTGGAACTAACCACATATCCTTAAGAAATTGTGAGAGGAGTGAATCCACCATGTAACTGGAATACTACTGAAATAGTAGGCAAAGTATCTGTGAGAGATAAATGGTTTGTTAAAGCCTGTTGAAATAACACATTCTGTCCAAACACTGGTTTTGATTGAAAAGTAAAGTATTACTGAATTCAGATGAAGTGCTTCACTTAAAAAAAACAAAAAAACAAAAACCAAAAAAAACCCAACAAACAAACAAAAAAAACCCCCACAAAGTGTCGGAGTGCAGTTTCAAGCTCTACTCCTTGCAGCAGCAATGCAAAGGAGATTTATTTTCCAAAAACCAGAAAACAGCTATTTCAGTAGTATTCTAGTTTCTATTATGTACTTACAATTCTGTGTCTTCTATTCTAGGAGATTCAGGACAGAATTCGAATTATAGAGCTCTACGCTAAAGATCGTCAGTTTGCAGAGTTTGTTAGGCAGCATCAAATGTGAGTGAAATGTCTGCATATCTAACTCCTTTGATGTTTTCTCCTGTGGCCTTTACTACATTACAGTATTTTTTAAGGGTCTAGAAACTCTGGGACACTAAAGGCTAAGATTTCAACATTATTTTTGAAGAGGTTCGACCCTTTAAAAATACTTAATAATCACTGTTAAAAGTAGACAGCCTCAGAAAGTATGTTAAAAACAGTGAAGAGGAATCCCAAAGTTAATGGGTGTCAGAGCTCTAACATCAGTTTAGGTCCTTGAAAGCATAGATAGAACCTTCTTAACTCTCCTAATGTGTTTCCCATTGCTTAGTGTTCTACTTAAAATAGAAATTTTGAAAGCACGTTAGTTTATCTTGGCAACTAAACCAAAACCTGACAGATCACTAGTACGATCCTCTCTGGTATGGTGGGCTCCTACCATCATAGAAAGTTTACAATTCCAAACAATTAACCAATCCGAGCTGTGTGCATTGATGTAAGCTAAGCAAGAAGAAGGTCATCAAGGAATTAATTATTAGCATATACACTCTCATGAACTCCCACTGTAGCAAGCAGCAAATCACAGCTTGCTGAATTAGTTTGAAAGATACTGTAGTAAAATTCCTTGGGATTCTGTTAAAAATAGCTACAGTAGCAAACAACTTATGTTCTCAGATCTTCAGCTGTAATTTTTTTTAATTGAAAATAACAGCAGTTCACATTTTTCCATGTCAGTAGTTCATTTTTTCATCTTGAAAAGCATCAGCGTCTGAATTTTCCACAGCTGGAAAGCAGTAAGGGCTGTCTTATATAAGCCTTGAATCCAATGTTTGAAAGAGATGAGCTTAATCATTCCTTCTCTGTTTTTCATTTCAGGAAGCTGCTTTAAGAAAAAAAGAAATTGATAGAATACACATGGGAGATAAAGACTACCTTGTTGCCACAGCAACGGGCTCAGATGTAACTGCAAAGTTACTTATAGTCTTAACATTGCATGGATGGATACAGATGTTTTCTAAATGAATGACTAAAATGTACAGATGTCTGTTTATCTCAATTACTTCTGGCTTTTCTGTGTAAAGTGACATTTTTGAGTGGCGATCAGAAGTGGCAGAGGTTATGAAAGTTCATTTTTATTTAACTCCAAAATGGACAGTGAAAGTTTTGTACACAAAGGCAAAAAAATCTCCTCGGGCAAGAGAAGATACATGCACAACCAAAATAAAATGCTCATTGAAAATCCCTGTCTGGCATTTATCCCCTCACTGGAGGCTCCAGTAGTGATTTCATGGGTACAAAACACCAGTGGAAAGAAGGGAAGGAGGGAAGGAGTTGTAGGGGAGAACTATTGTGCTAGAATTATGTTAGCATTATTTTAAAATATTCCCGTTATCGACACAAACATAACTTCACTGGAAAAACCTTCCTTCTGTACAGATGCCCAATGTATGTTTTGCCACCTGGCATCAGCAAAACAGACAATAGCACTGAGCCTGCAGGCCTCCTGAAGGCTCTCCCCAGCAATCAGCATCCCCACTGCCTGTGACCCCAGGGGAGCCTTGGCAAGGCTGGGCAGCTCTGCTGCAGTGCAGTACAGTGTCTTTAAAGCCAGGATGGTTGGTTCTCCAGCTGTTTCTGGCAGACACATCAACTGAGGCACTGAAGGGCTGCTATCATACAAATGTTCTGTGAGGCTTAAGTGACTAACATTGACTTTTTTTGTATGTGGATAATTGGTTTCATATTTTGTAAGTTGATATGCATTATTTATTTGTTGTGTGTTTCCTTATCAGCTTATTTTCATCATGGATTTAATCACTGAAATAGAAAGATGGCTAGTTTTAATGATGAAATGCTACAGTGGCATTCGTGCCCATCCTTTTATATATATTATATTTAGTGTTTACTTAGTTTTGAATTGAGCCAACTAATACTTGTATTTTCTTTACTGAACTGGGCAATAGCCTTCCATGAGCTCCCTTTCAAATCAGGCTGTAGTATTTAAGTGCATCCATATTTAGTAGGTTGCAGCACTTTTCTGTGGGGAAGGGGAAAAGTGAGATTATTCTTAGTTTAGTGGAAATCAGCATGGAATTCCTTAAACAGAAGAAGTCGGCCTGAAACATTTTAAAATAACTTGAGATTTACAGAAACAAGAACTTTATCTTCAAGTTATGAAGAGAGTTCTGACTACATGTTAAGGTGTGTTGGGGCTCTGTTCAGTCACTCAGTGACTCTCGTTTAAGGCATTAACACAGCTGTCAGGGTTAGGGCACAATTATGATCATGTTAGCTTATGCAAGCAAAAAAGGCCAAGTTATTTATATCTATGATGTCTCTAGTTCTCGGCCCACATGTGCCAACAGCTACCTGATACTTTTTAGTATCTTTAGTACTTTTACTAGTAGTGAGAAATACTTAATAATTGTCTGTAGGCAGCTTAGCTAAATAACTGAATACTTCAGTGCAATTCTTCTATGTGTCCCAGAGAACCTCACTGGATCACTGGTGTAGTACCTTCTTGCCTTGAGTGGCAGGGGATGGGTATCAGAGCCACACATTTGTCTAAGAAATGCTTATAGAAACCACTGTAAGCCAAAATAATGCCAGACAGCAGTAAGTAATACGGTGCTGCTCAACACTTTCGTGACCAGGTGTTATGAGACAGAGGCCCCATTCTACTGGGTGGCCCAAGGGCTGTCAGAGCAGCTGGTCCAGAGTTTCTGAGGCACAGCCCACTCCTCCTGGCCCTGCAGCAGAATGGCTGAGCCATCCTGTAACACCAGGGCCTGTGACCATAGCAGAGAACTACTGGGCTCAGGGTAGGCATCAGCTTGTGACTCGTTTCTGTGCAGCTCAGCTGCCAGCCCTGGGAGCTTCAGTGCTGCTCCTGCTAAGTGCAGCAGTGGATGGCAGCTGGGATCAGGCATGTTTTAAAGGTATTTTTAGTATTTTCTATGCACAAGCTGAGAAGAGGCTTGGTTACACTGAGTATGAGGTATTTCAGTGTATATACAGTGATATTTTCTTTGTGTGTGTGTGTATACATATGGACATGACGGTATCTTTTCACAACAATAAAAAACTATTTCCAAAATATTTTTCTATAAAATTCATGCAGAGACTATGAGTTGGACACGGATAAGGCATCTTAGCCATGACCATTTAAGCATGTAGGACCAGAAAGTCTGTTTTTTGTTTGTTTTTGTTTTTTTTTCAACAGGGGTTGGTTAAGCTGTTAAACTCCTTTGCTAACAAAAGTGCCAAATGTAGTTCATTAACGCTTGTGAGATTGTAGTCTAAATATTCATTCTGGAAAGCACATACCTGAGTACCTTGCTTTTAGTGAAACTCTTTGCCCATTTTGAAGATGTTTTGTCCCGAATCAAAGAGCCAAAGCATGTCATTACTAAGGTGATCTCGAAATCTTAAAACCAAAACAGACTCCCTCTACTTCAAACCTCTTCACCTGAACTGTTTGGTGATGCATCTTGCAACATGCCAAGAACTTAGTGAATGACTGACTTTCTTTGACATTTTCCCAATCTAAGGCAGAGATAAAGTACTCTAAATATCCTAACAAAAAAAATAAAAAAAGCTCAACCCAAACCAGTTCAATGTATAAATCTACCAGTCTGGTATGCAGGTTTTTGATTGCTAAAAGTTAAAAATGCAGGTTCAAATGACTTTGCTTAATATAAGAGCATAAAAAGCCATTATTGTTTACTAAACACTGACATGTCTATCAGCATCTGTGGCCCTCCTCCAGGCTTGAAACACAGTAAAATGAGGCCCTGCAGAACACTACCACCTGCCCCTTTAACAGGGGATCTCGAACAAACAAGCAACTCATGTTGGAGCACATCTACTGCAAAAGCTACTAAGTGCAAGTTCTGCCTATACTATTTCTGGGGTCTCTCAAGGCCTTCTCTGGTGCCTCAAGGTACCAGAATTCTACCACAGCTGGAAATTCAAACAGAAAACAAGTCTTCTTAGCTTCAAGACCAACAGCATTTCAAGAACTGTGTGCTTGTCTTTTATTTGGTAGCTTTTTAGCAAAGCACAGAGCCTTGGACACCAAAAAGCTAAAAGACATTGAGTAACTGAGTAGCTATTCTGTTAAGCTCCAGGCTTCCTGTACTGCTGGGTAACAGTTTGGTTCCAGAAAATAGATTTCTTCAGGTCCTCAGAAGTAGCTGAAACTATGAATTTCTCATCTCCTCCAAAAAAAGAAAGCATAAATAAACTCGTTAGAGTTTTAAGAACTTACAGCTTAAATGTTAAAATGGAAAAAGTCTTCAACAATCAAGACTTTCACTCATGTTCCTCATCAGACCTGCTGGAATCAGTCTGTGTTGTGAATGGCTGCAGAAGGAGTATGGGAGGACTCCGAGCACTCTCCCACATGGAGTCTGCGGACAGCAGGCGTGCTAAGGTGCCAGAGCTCCAGTGCAGGGTCAGTCACCTCATTCTATTAAAACACAAAGCAAAAATATTGACCAATACCAATTTGTCTGTCTATCTGTAAGCATTGGAGGACAGACACAGACTGACTTTGTATAGCACAGGAAACGTGCCAGGGCATTGTTACTGTTTAAAAATTAGTAGAAAGCACACAGGACTTTCGTGGCCCTTTGTTTACTTGAAACGTACTATAACACCAGCAGTATTTCTGTCTTTCCACTACTTGATCCAGTTTGGGAACAGATGTGTTATGTTCTATGTAACATTGATCCATTTGCTTTTGTTTCTCAACTGAAAAAAAAAAAATTCCAAAGCTGTTTCTAGGCTAGGAATTCTTTTCATTTGTCAATCCAAAGAGGAAGGTTTTGGCATTGCCATGTGCAACACTAGTTGGCTCTCTTCCTCTAAACTATTAATAACCCCCAGAAATTTTAGTTGAGTTCCTGTCCTCTTAGACTCTTGCCCATGTTGCTTCTCACCCTCCTTGCTGGGTCACCCACTGCACTGTGTGGTGGGAAACACATTCATGGCGGGCAGGTTTTCTTGGAGGATGGCAGCAGGCTGCAGGACTAAAATGATGTTTTGCCTGAGGTGCTGCAGCTGTTCTGAAGGAGTCAGCTGAACACCACCTCCAAACCTGCACTTTTAGATTTCCTGTGTTTCCAACTAAACACAAAACCAGATTTCAACTTTCATTTGTTTCAGGATGAGAAATACCCTCAGTACTGGAATTTTGTGGGACAGATGCCAATTTATTGGCATCTGTACTAAATGTATAAGTTGGAGTAAACTACACTTAAAGCTTGACCTTTTGTAAGGGGACACCAGCCCACTGCCAGCTCCCATTTATACAACCAAACAACAAAAAAATACTGTCTTGAATCATTGGAGGTTTAAATGTTGTTCAAAAATCTCATATTAAACACAAATCAGACTTAGTCCTAACTGGAGTTGCGATTGCATCTCCACAGCTGATTACCAGATGGGGAAACTATGCCTTTCTGGAAAGGCTGAGGTAGCTTGAACAGAAATGAAAATGGATACAGCCATACATCAAAACTTTATGCAGTAACACGGGCATGTGTCTGGATAAAAGAGGGCAAGTGAAGAGGTAGATTGTCAGAGGTGAGCCTACAAGCAATCCCAAGAGGGAAAGATTTCCATCTGCTCATGGAAGACAGCTACAAGGAAATTCGCTCAGCTCCACCTAAAGGGATTATATGATCTCTCATCCCAGAAAGGGAGGGGAATGCAAAACAGTGCCAGCAGCAGCACAGGGCTTGAGTCTCCCAGCATGACCTACAGGTAACTGCTGGCTCAGTTCACTGTTCACAATTCCCATCATCTGCTCAGTAAGGGAGTGGCTGTTGTTCCCGTCCCTAATTTGAGATGGGAAGATCAGAACTTTTTGATCCACAGAAATGCTTCATACAGTTTTCCAGTAAACCAGAGAGTGCTGCACAGCTTTTTATTTTTTGTCTTTTCTTATTTCTTCTTTAAAGTTTTGATTAAAAAAATCAAACCAAAACACACCACCAAAAAAAAAAAAAAAAGAAAATCAACACAACTTTACCACACTTATTTTTAGGGTTTTCTTTTTACATCCTTCCCTTAGGCATGAACGGAAAGCCACAGCCATGATAGGAAGGCAGTGTGGTGCTACAGAGCTCTCACATATGGAAGTCTCACTTTGCCCTTCTTGCCACCACAGTAGCATTTATAATGTCAGCATGTCCATATCTGCTTAAAAAAACATCAAGCCAAATAATCCCACACTAAAATATTGTCCCAAGGCTTGCAGGAAATGTGACTGGGAGCCTCATACCTGTAGAGATTGACCTTTCAGGAGACTCAAATCTTTTGCATTATGCATAAAGCTCCTGATGGGACATGTCTAATGCAACACTGAATACACCAAACTAACAGAAAGCAGATTCGGTGGGTATGTGACTTATGAGTAAGGCTGATGGGAAGTGTTTTTGGGGCCATCTCTCAGCACACCATATGACACCACTGACATTTTTCAAGGAGCAAAGCACACAAGAACTTTGCCCTTACCTGCCAAGAAAAAAGGAGATGGAAGTTTCTGGTAAGACATTTGAAGTAGAGAACCAGTCTACTTGCAGAGAACCACCAGCTTGCAGGCAGCCCAAAACAGTCTCCAAAAAGGGACAATTTAGCCTGGAAAGAAGGAATAAAGTGATGCTAGGGAAAACAAAACAAAAGAACAGGTTATTATTTTAAAGGTTAAAACCATCCCATAATCACTATCATTTGATATACACTCAAGTCAGTAAGCTGCCCCTGGCTAAGCAACCTTAATATTGCTTTGAGAAGAGCAGGGCAGAACTCTGACCATTTTGCCCCCAGTCAGGCCCTCTGCAACCTGCTGCTGCCACATCTAGAGATAAGCAAGGAGGAAGGATTAAGTTCACCATATGTATGTATCAGTGGATGTTAAATGGAAAATTTTACTTCTGAAATATTATTAAGGGATGTGCATGACCAAGTATTGCTGAGGTTCTGCATTTCACTGCTCAGAACTGTCCGGTATCAAGTACTCAAGCTGCCTGTGAACAAACTTGTAAACCATCAACCATTTCTCCAGATGGAACACTGCAGCATCCCATGTCATGATATAAAAACCTGATTAACTGTGATGACCAGTATTTTCCATAAACATTTAACAAAACTTCCCATTGTTTAATTACTAGTGTGCAAAAAGCAGATGATTTTATAACATGAAAGACTTGAGCTGGCAGATCATGGGGAAAAAAAAGCCCACAAGAAAACCCATTAATATAGGAGAGTTATTCAACCCTGTAATATAAAAACCTAAAGATGTGAATTTTTCAACCCTTGTGTGAACCTCTCATGAACATTTTTAAAACCAGCTCTAGTTAACTAAGCCTCTTGACATACAATGTCAGAATGATTGTGTGCAGTCCCCATTCTGCTCTGGAAAATGGGAAGCCTCAAAACTAGCAAAGATCAGTCAGCAAAGAGAGGACACATTCAGGGGCCAAATTTGAAAATCAAAAGTATTTATCCAGTTTTAAATGAAAGACCATGCAAAATCCCACATGCAATTAATTCTGAAGAACAGAACTGGTACAGCAAAATACAGTTACTTACTCTTTGATAGGATTTTCTATCATCAGGTGTCTCACACATCTGGGTTTACTTGTACATTTCAGGACTTCTGCTGATCTACACTGTGCTTACCTCAGAACCCTGCCACTTTGAGCTTTCTTGCCTCTAGTTATTATCAAAGAGCTTCAGCTTGGAGTGGCCTAATTAGAACTTGGTTCAAATTAAAGAAGAAACCAGTCCACTAGCAACAGCAATATTCTACATCTGTGTGAATTGGATTCCACTTCAGAATGCTTTTGAGGGTAGGAAAAATGAGAAAAAGAAGGGGAGAAAAGCAGACAAAAGACAAAGCTTGGCTACAGTCTGGGGCAGCACCAACAGCTCAGATACAAGTCTATGGGAAGCTGTAGAAACAGAAAGCAAGCTGTCCCATCCATCTGTTTTTAAAGGCTCTCACTAAGGGGAGAAATAAGGACTGATGTATTTTCACAACAGGAGTGAAAGGAACAGAATTCCTTGAGCTTTGGAGGAAGCCTGGAGGG